GGCTGCGCGGCCGCTTCGCTCCAGGGGGCGCGGGAACTGGCTCCGCAGACCCGGCGGCACGGACCTCAACGCGACCCCGCCGCGACCCCGGGGCCGGCCGTGACGCAATGCGCCCCGGCCAATGGCGCGCGCCCCGCCGCTGCGTCACGGCGAGGCCGGCCAATGGGCGCGGGCCTGGCCCCGCCTCCTACGCGCCGCTGTCCGGTCCGAGCGGCTGAGAAGCGACCGCGGCGACCCTGCCCGCCGGGCGCGGCCCAGGTGAGTGCAGCGGCGGCCCGGGCTCCGCGGCCGCTCCGGGCCGGCGGGGGCGGCGGGGGCGGCGGGGGCGGCGGCGCCTCCTCCCCCGGCGGCTGCGATGCGGACGGGGGCGGGAGGGCGGGGCTGCGCCCGTGCTCTCCTCTGCCCGGGATTCGGGCGCCGCCCCCGCCCCCCGGGGCGCGCGGTCGGGGAGCCCGCAGCCAGCCCTCGCCCCGGAGAGACGCGGGAGGAGGGGGCTGGAACCGGCCGGGTTGGAGGATCGCGCCGGGAGGACCCCGGCTGTCCCTCTGCGCAGCGGCGGGAGCAGATCTGCTGGCGTGGGATTAGCGGGCAGATGGTCCGGCCCGGCGCTCCGGGAGCCCACCTGTCGCCCGAGTGCACGGATGGGAGCGCACCGAGGCCGACCTGCCCGCGGTGATGGGGACTCGGGGCCCTTCCTGCCCGGGCGCCGGGCAGCCCTTGCTCCAAGGAAGGGCCCTACGCCCATGCACGCCCCGCTGTTTTCTCCTGCCTCTTTGGACCCTCCTGTCGCCTTGCTGCAGCCCCCGCAATTGGCAGGCAGTCGTCCACCGTGTTTGCCAGGACTCTGTTTGCCAAGGGGGTGGGATCGACAGGGTGGAATAAGGAAACAGACCAATAGGCAACCCCGGGAAGTAAATGCTTCAGGCGCTTCCTTTGGCATAATGATCCCATGCCCCACCCCACCTCCCCCGGGCACTTTGGCCTGAAGGGATCTGTTGATAAACCGGTGCTGATAGGCAGAGGGCTCTGAGAATGACCTAAGGCCCCGCTGGAATTCACGGCGCCCAAGTTCTTGATGAACCAGAAGTGGCGTTCTTGAAAGATGTTCCTTCCATCCCTTCACCCCTACAAAACAAAGAAATGCCAGGACCCCAGAATCACGGGATTAAAGCACCAACCCTCCATGCATGAGTCCTCTGACCCAGTGACCCAGTGTCCCTGACAGGTTACCTGATCACCTCATACCCGGGAAATGGCCTGCAGGGAGCCAGGGCAGCACCCTGGCAGAGCTGGGAAGGAGGTGCAGCTGCTCTAGGTAGGACAGTCACGCCCTCTCATCCTTAGCTGGGAAGGGACTGGAGCCCAGGTCCCAGTTTGCAAACACCACCCCAACCCCATCCTTTCTCTGCATTAGGTGCCCCGAAGGTTCAATTACCAGTATGTCTGTGTGGGAATTACTGCTTAGTCATTTCTCCCAGGGAAAGTGTATCAAATACAAGTCAAAGTCCCCATTCATTGAGTTCAACCTGAAGACTGAGCCTGACTTAATTGCTCACATATAGAGTGAACTGTCAGCTAAGAGATGTCTTTGAAAACTAGAGTTATATTAAAAACTAGAGGCCTGGTGCACACAATTTGTGCACTGGAGGAGGGTGTCCCTCAGACCAACCTGCACCCTCTCAAATCTGGGACCCCTCGGACATCCCTTTCACGATCCAGGACTGCTGGCTCCCAACTGCTTGCTTGCCTGCCTACCTAATTGCTCCCTAGCCACTCCCCTGCCAGTCTGATTAATGCCTAACTGTTCCCCTGCTGTCCCGATTGCCCCCAACTGCCCTCTCCTGCAGGCCAGGTCGCCCCCAACTGCCCTCACCTGCTGGCCATCTTGTGTGAGGGTGTGATGGTCAATTTGCATATTACCTCTTTATTATATAGGATAACACCATCAGAACCAACATTTCCCCTCCAAAAAAAACCTTACTTTTCTCCCCCAACAATTGATGAAGATTTTCAAGTATATAACCAAGTTGAAAGACTTATACAGTAAGCACTACCATGCCCACCACCTAGATTCTACTGTGAATGTTTTGCTGTATTTGCTTTATCACACACCTATCCACCTATTTTGACCTGGCTGCTGACCTGAAGTAATTAGTGATTTTTGGCTTTCCTGGTGCAATATTTCTGTCTTAGCTCAGGGAGTTGGCAGTGTGGTGGTTGGAGGTGATGGTAATTATGTCTAACTTGGGTTGAATACCCGCTGTGTGCAGAGCACTGCAAGGTGCTGTGGAAATGAAGAGGCTGAAGACTCAGGCTGACCAGAAAGGAGCGTGATTTTTGGTTTTGTTTTTAAAGATAGAAGATTAGTGGCAATTTGTGGTAGCAAATGCCAAGTAATAAGATGACAGCAGTAACATTCATTGCGTCCTTGATGGGTGCTGAGCACTACTTATTAAAAGCTCTGCAGCCGAAACCGGTTTGGCTCAGCGGTAGAGCGTCGGTCTGCGGACTGAAAGGTCCCAGGTTCGATTCCGGTCAGGGGCATGTACGTTGGTTGCGGGCACATCCCCGGTAGGGGGTGTGCAGGAGGCAGCTGGTCGATGTTTCTCTCTCATCGACGTTTCTAGCTCTCTATATCTCTCCTTTCCTCTCTGTAAGAAAAATCAATAAAATATATATTTAAAAAAAAAAAAAAAAAAAAAAAAGCTCTGCAGTGAATAAATAAATAAATGCAAGAAAAGCTCTGAACCTGTATTATATCATTTAATTCTCAGAACCACATAAGTAGGCCATGATTCCTTTTTGCCTTTTACAGATCATGAAACAGACACAGAGGTTAGTTGACTTTTGGGGGTGCTGGAAAGAAGTGTAGCCAAGAGCCAAAACCGGTTTGGCGGACTGAAAGGTCCCGAGTTCAATTCCGGTCAAGGGCATGTACCTTGGTTGCGGGCTCATCCCCAGTAAGGGTGTGCAAGAGGGAACCGATCGATCTGATCGATGTTTCTCTCCCATCGATGTTTCTAACTCTCTATCCCTCTCTCTTCCTCTCTGTGAAAAATCAATAAAATATATTTTTTAAAAATACATACATATATATATATATATATATATATATATATATATATATGAAGTGTAGCCAGGTCCCGAATTCCAACAGTCTGGGTCTGAGGTGGCTCTGGGCACTCTTAGTCACAGTGTAGACGCCACAGGGATAGGGGACCCTCAGGCCTGACCAGGAGGAGCAAAGGGGTCACTGGGGGTTGCCGCAGTTCTTCCTGGGGTCCCAGCTCAGGCACCTGGACTCAGGTGGCTCCAGAATGCTGGAATTCTGACTTCCCCTATGTTTGACCTGGCGCCGGTGCCCGGGAGACAGATGGAGGTTCTGAGAGAGCCCCCCTGGGGTAGTGTGCTCCACGCTGCTGGTCAGGCTCTCTCCTGACACCTTCCTCCACTTCCTGTCCCAATATCTCCCAAGCTTGGCTCCTGTCCCTTCTGCTTCCTTTCTTCCTGTTCCTGATTCTCCTCTCACTTCCTTTCTGACTTGTCACTTCTCCTGGTGTTTGTAAGGCCTTCTGTCCCCAGAAAGCCCGTTTGCCAATGGCAGATGCTCCTGTGTTCAGACACGGTCCATCTCGTGTTGGCATTGCAGTACCCATGTTCAGCTAAAAATCCAAATGCCAGCCTTCCGAGGTGGCATCGCTCCCCTGGCACTCACAGAAGCAGCCTGGCCCAGCTCAGGTATCCACACTGCCTCCTGGATGCCAGGTTCCAGGAGTTATGTCCTGGGGTCAGCAGCACAGACATTCCCCAGGGAGAGGGACGTGGCCAGTGGCCGAGTGCAGTGGCTGCCTCGCCCACTCTGCCAAGAAGAAAGAGAAAAAGGAACAGGAATAGAGAAAGGCAGGAGACGGATGGGGAAGAGAGAGAAGTGGTCATGCGAGGAGAGTGTCAATAGGACTCACAGCCCTGCCATGCAGCCGCTGGGCACCTGCGGGACCATGCAAGGCTCTGGCTAGGGTGCCAGGCCCATGTAGTGACCCCCGTCAAACCCATAAAGGAAGGTCCCAGAGGGACCAGCACAAGGGGGGGGGGGGGGGGACACTCCCACCTTGGGGCAGAGGCTTCCTGGGCTGGCAGCAGGACATTGTTTGGAATTCAACTAAATCTGTGACTTTTCATTGATTCTTTAAAAAAAAAAAAATACGTTTTGCCGAAACCGGTTTGGCTCAGTGGATAGAGTGCCAGCCTGCGGACTGAAAGGACAGGTTCGATTCCGGTCAAGGGCAGGAACCTTGGTTGCGGGCACATTCCCGGTTGGGGAGGGAGCATGCAGGAGGCAGCTGATCGATGTTTCTCTCTCATCGATGTTTCTAGCTCTCTATCCCTCTCCCTTCCTCTCTGTAAAAAAAACAACAATAAAATGTATTTTAAAAAATAAGTTTTTATTGACTTCAGAGAGAGGGAGGGAGAGGAAGAGATAGAAACATCAATGATGAAAATCATGGATCGGCTGCCTCCTGCATGCCCCATACTCGGGATCAAGCCCAAAATCCAGGCATGTGCCCTGACTGGGAATCACCATGGCTTCCTGGTTCATAGGTCGGTACTCAACCATGGAGCCACATTGGCTGGACTCATTGATTCTTTTGGCATGAAAGATCTGAAGGCAACATGACAGAATAGCATTCATTTAACCTGGGGAGGGAGAGGTGTGGTGGTTACATTTTTGCCCTCTGTATTCTTTCGTTTTGTTTGTTGGTTTTATCCCCTCTGTATTCTTTCGGATGCTTGAGCATCCGAAGGCAAGAGGGACAGAAAGGCAAAGAACGAAAAAGAGCTCTAACCTGAAAGCCCAGCTCTGCTTCTCATCTGGGGTGACCATTCGCCCGCTGTCTGGGCTGCATCTTGCTGTCTGTGACATGAGTCTAGCGCTGGCTGTGGACACACTGACACCGACCCTCGCCCTCACCTCCGGCTTTCTCCCCGCAGCCCTCGCCACCATGCCCAGCTCGGCGCTGTGGGCCGTGGACCTCTTCGGGAGGGTGTACACGCTCTCCACGGCCGGGCAGTGCTGGGAGCTGTGCAGGGACACGCAGCTGGAGTTCAAGCGGGTCAGCGCGGCCACGCGGGGCTGCTGGGGGATCGCCTGCGACAACCAGGTCCACGTGTACGTGTGCGCCAGCGACGTCCCCATCCGCTGCCAGGAGGAGGCCTACGAGAACCAGGTGGGGCAGGCGTCCAGGTTGCTGAGTGGGTTGGCTGGCTGGCTGGCTAGGAAATAAAGTCCCCGCTCACCAGGCTTCCAGGCGGTTCCCATGTTCGGCTAAAGATCCAAGTTGCGTGGTGTCATGGGCCTTTGGAACCAGAACCCTGTTGTGTCCCCACCGAGGCAGGCTGGTCAGGTTCACGCCCAGGGGTTTCCAGAACAGGCCATGCCCTCCCCTGCTGGCTCCTGGGGGGCACCGTGTCCTTTGGGGCCATGATGTTGTGCTGGCTGACCCCCAAGTTCCGGGTGGGCCCTCTGCGCACACCCACCCACCATGGAGGCAGCAGAGTGCCCTGCTGGCGGGGGCCTGGCCTCCCCAGGCAGCTCAGGCCTAGAGCCCGTGCCCGCCTCCCCCCTCAGCGCTGGAACCCCGTGGGAGGCTTCTGCGAGAAGCTCCTGCCGAGTGACCGCTGGCCGTGGAGCGACGTGAGCGGGCTCCAGCACCGGCCGCTGGACGGGGTGGCGCTGCCCTCGCCGCACTGGGAATGGGAGTCCGACTGGTACGTGGACGAGAACTTCGGCGGGGAGCCCACCGAGAAAGGGGTAGGTGCACGTGGTTCCCGTGTGGCTCCACGTGGGGAGGGAATGCTTTGGGCTCACCCGTCCCCTCAGTGCTGTTCCGTGTCCTGTGGCAGCCGACCCTGGCCTTCGCCCTGCATGCCCCCCCTTTGTGCACAGGATCAGTGGGGAGCAGTGCTGTTCTCCTCCTGCCTGCTCCCCCTTCCCCAGCCCTATCACTTCCTTCCCGCAGAGCCTTCCAGAGCGCCCCACCTTGTCTTTCAGGGGTGGACATATGCCATGGACTTCCCTGCCACGTACACGAGGGACAAGAAGTGGAATTCTTACGTGAGGCGGCGGAGGTGGATCCGGTACAGGAGATACAAGTCCCGCGACACCTGGGCCAAGGTCGGAGCCTGCCCCACTGCTGGGAGGATCACATGGGCCCTCATTTCTGCCTTCCTGCCTGTGCCCAGAGGGTGCCACCCCCACACTGGGACCGGCCTTTGATTGTCTCCTGGGAACACTGCGGCACTGCGTGTCCCTTCCTCTGGGAGAAGGCCAAGTGGGAGGCAGGCCAGATTGGCCCAGGACAGCACAGAACCTGACCCTGGTCTCCAGCTGCCCTGTCCGAGAATGAGGCTCAGTCTGTGCACATCTACCTCCTTTATTCCTAAATGAGAGGCCCAGTGCACAGAATTCATGCACGGTTAGGGTCCCTAAGCCTGGCCAGCGATCAGGGCTGATTGGGGCCTTCTCCATGCTGGCCAGGGCCTCCCTTCCCCAGCTGCCAGCAGCCAGTCGGGGCCTTCCTTCATTCCCCACTGCCCCCTGGTGGTCAGTGCACGTCATAACAAGCGATTGGACCCCAGCTCGAACTCCCGTGGGGACACTTTGCATATTATCCTTTTATATATATGAGCCACTTTGGCTCTTGTATTGATCCAGACAGACATCCCAACTTAGGGACATGAGGTCTGGACTGGGTCCTATGAGGCCTTCGAATGAGGTGAAGCCTGGAGCCCTCACCAGACCTCCCTAGAGGACCCCCCCTTTGAGGTGGGTCTGCCAGCTCAGCCAGCCTGCCCGTTGGGCTGAGAGCTGCCCAGAGAACAAGGACTTACACTGCAGGGCCACCTTCTGTGACCGGCCCCCTCTTGGTGGGGGATGGAGTCTCAGCGTGCAGGTCACTGCAAAGCACAGAGCCAAGGCCCTGTATGCACCAGCCTTCCTTGCTGGAGCAGCAGTGACCGCTCGGGGGTGGCAGCTGGAGCCTGGTGGCTGGCAGAGGGGGGACAGGGCAGAGAGCGCCCAGGGGAGGAAGCTGATGTTCTGATGTGCCTGCTCTGTGAAGTCAGGAGTTGTGCGCTGAGGTGGAGAAAGAAGGCAGCGTGCGGAGGGCCTGTGGCATGGCTGGTGCGGGGCAGCTGTCTACCAGGAGGGGAACAGTGCCATCTGCTGGCCCAAGAGTCCACAAGGACTGACTGCCTCTGCCTCCACCTGTTTCAGATCCCTTCAAAGGATGACCCCAAGCAACTGCCCGACCCCTTCAACGACCTCTCCGTGGGGGGCTGGGAGATCACAGAGGAGCCCGTGGGCCACCTGTCCGTGTGGGCTGTGTCTCTGCAGGGAAAGGTAAGACTGTGGCCCCTGTGCCTTGAGCAGGGGTAGCTGAGGGTGTGGCCACAGTCAGGAAGGGACAGGAGATACATAGGCCTTTGTTGTTGTCCCAGAGGTGGAGGAAGGAGAAAGGCTGCCCCTGAGACCTCCTCGCCTCCTGCCCCCACAGCAGGTGGCATTTATCAGGGTCCCCATATTGCCCTTTCTGTGAATCCTGCTGTCCTGTTGACCCCTGGATTCTACTCCCAGAAGCCTCTGACCTCCCACCTACTCCTGGCCTGGCCCTCCTATGACCCCCCAAAGCACTGACCAGTGTCCACCCTGGGATCAGATGCCATTATATGTCTAGTGTCTCCAGACAGACTCAGAGTTCCCTGCCAACTCCCTGTGGCACCTCCACACCAGTCTCTGGAAGTATTGCTGGTTGGTGGGTGAAAGGGGATGGGTGGGGATGCATGGGTAGATGGATGGAAGGATAGGTGGGTGGATGGGTGGGTGGATGAGTGGGTAGATGGATAGGTGGGTGGATGGGTGGGTGGGTATGAGGGTGGATGGGTATGTGGGTGGGTGGTGGATGTTTGGAGAGGAGAGGAGATCATTTTCTCAAGGAGGTTGTAAGTTAAACAAAGTAATAAAACCAACCTGACTACAGCAGCCACACAGATGGCCCTGCGTGGGGTGACCCATCACTTACTCGTGACGATTCAATCCTCCGTTCCACAAACTGACCCAAATCCTCTGGTTGGCTTGGGGACAGTCACGGCAGCTGTTATCAGGCTTACCTCTGGGGTCCTATTTGGCCCTGGCTTCAGTTAACCAGTGTTCCTGAGCCATGCTGCAGGACCTGGCTTGGGACAGAGCCCCCACCGAGGAGCCACGCCCACCTGGAAGCAAAGAGAAGGGAGAATGACAGTGTTTGTGTTGCCGGCTATGAGCCAGCGCTGCCCTGCACCAATCCTGAGGGCCGTACCCTGGGCTCCAGGAGAAGCTGGGAGGCAGAGGGCCCTAAACCAGAGGGAGCAGAGGGAGGCTGTCCAGGCCTGGTTCTGCAGTGCGGGCTGTAGGCGACAGGGTTGGGAGGCCATGGTGCCCAATATGGAGACAGATCCCAGGAGATGAGACCCCAGGCAGTGTGCACGATATGACCAGGTGGCATATTTGGCTATGCTCACTATCTTCAGGTTAAAGAGAAAAAGAAGGGTATTTGTTTTATCTATGTTTTTATTTCAGAGAGAAAGAGGGAGAGGGAGAGATAGAAACATCAATGAGGAGAGAGAATCATTGATCAGCTGCCTCCTGCACACCCCCCCCCCACACACACACACACCCCGCCACCAGGGACCAAGCCCGAAACCCAGGCACATACCCTGATCAGAATAGAAGCATGACCTCCCAGTCCATGGGGGTCGACACTCAACCACTGTCCCACACTGGCCAGGCATCTTAGACAGCTCAGACATTCCTACGAAGGGGAGTGGTCAGCTTCCCCTGAGACAGGTGTTTTGAGAGCCTGTCATCACTAGAGTGTGCAGGACACCCAAGCTGGGGCTGAGTTCTCACAGGGCACATGGGTGAGTGAGGAGGGGGCTGTCCCCTAGGACAGCGGAAGCCCAGGTGTGGCATTTTTAGCAGCCTTTGGCACTCTGGGCCCTGGTCTCCAGGACCCCCCATGCCTGGCCTGTGTGTGTGCTAAAGCAGATGCAGCCCAGCTGGGGCAGCTGGTTCTTCACGGAGTCCCGGCCTGACCCCGCTGACCCTTCCTGTGGTTTCTCTCACCCTCAGGTGTGGTACAGAGAGGACGTCAGCCACCCCAACCCAGAAGGCTCGTCATGGTCCCACGTGGACACCCCGGGGGAGGTGGTCCAGATCAGCTGCGGGCCGCACGACCTCCTGTGGGTCACGCTCTGGGAGGGGCAGGCCTTGGTTCGGGAAGGAATCAACAGGAACAACCCCAAAGGTGGGAGGCACACACCCGTACTGGGAGGGGGTGCCCAGCTTCTCCCGGGCGCACTTGCTGACGGGGACCCTGCACTTTCTCCCGGGGCCGAGCAGGAAGTTCCTGGTGCCTCGTGGAGCCTCCCACCTCTGAAAACGGCATCATGCACGTCTCCGTGGGAGTGGGCGTGGTCTGGGCCGTCACCAAGGACCGGAAAGTAAGGCCAGGTCGAAGGGGGGCTGGGTCCCGGGACTCTGCGTCACGTTGAGGGCGGTGTGTGTTTTGTTCTGTCCTGAACCCCTGAGAACCAATTAGCGAGCACCGGGCACTGTCTGTGTCACCCCCGAGATGTCCGGCCCCTGCAGAATCCCTCTGCTCGGCCCTGAACCAACTGAGGCGAGCAGCAGTGCTCACTCCATAGGCCGTAACATCTCAAGGAATCAGAAGCCGGTTTTCTAAAACCCTCTCCTAACTGGTTGCCTCCCCCTGCTCCTGTTCCTGCTGGTCATTTTTATTTATTCTTTTTTCCCCATTGATTTTTAGAGAGTGGAAGGGAGGGAGGAGAGAGAGAAATATTGATAAGAGAGCAAAACATCAATGTGAGAGAGACACACTGATTGGTTGCCTCCCTCAAGTGCCCCGACCAAGGCCAGGGACAAAACTGCAACTGAGGTAATGCCCTCAATCAGGAATCGAACCCGAGACCCTTTGGTCCCTGGGCCAAAGCTGTAACCACTTAGCAAAACCAGCCAAGGCTGATCATATTTATTTTATCTGAGGCAAGGCCACTAAAATAGGCTAATTTCAGGTTGCTTACACGTTCTCTAACCCCACCCCCATCAAGGGCTTCCCCTAACATCCAGGGGACGGGTCTCCCATGCATCCAGCCCCTCTCCAGTGAAGCTGCAGAGCCTCAGGCCACACGGCCCCTGGGAAAGTACAGATGGGCTATCCTCCCTGGCCCCCTAAGCACCCCACTCTCAGATCTACCGATAAATGAGCAGCAGGTTAGATTAATAGGAGCAGTTTGCTCTGTCTTAAGACAAACATTTGATTATATGTGAGCTAAGGTGGGGGTTGCCCGGAGGTCCACGGGATGGGGTGTCACTCACACCCCATGGGTGTCACCTGGGTCAGGCTCACAGGTCAGAGTCTGGATTTGAGATGGAGTATGTGCCCTCCCCTCCCCCAACCTCTCCCAACTCACTGCACCAGTCAGCCGACACCTGCTGCTACTTGCTGCCAACAGGTGCCGCTAGTGTCTGAACTGGTGGGGAGAAGGTTCTGGATTGATTGAGGCAGTCTTGTCTCCTGGAGGGACAATGCCCTGAGCCAGAGAATGGACAGGAAGCCACCAGGACGAGACTGGGGACAGGTGACCCTCAGCCCAGAGGGATGTGGGGTGAATGTTTCCTTCCTAAAGGGTGTGCTGTGCTCATTTGCGGCGTGAACCAGAGGGTCAGGTTATTCATTTGTTCTTCTTTTGGTTTAATTAGCTGAAACCGGTTTGGCTCGGTGGATAGAGCATCGGCCGGCGGACCGAAGAGTCCCAGGTTCGATTCCGGTCAAGGGCATGTACCTTGGTTGCGGGCACATTCCCGGTAGGGGGTGTGCAGGAGGCAGCTAGTTGATGTTTCTCTCATCCATGTTTTAACTCTCTATCCCTCTCTCTTCCTCTCTGTAAAAAATCAGTAAAATATATATTTTTTAAAAAGAAAATGCCCCCCCTGTGTCGGTGGCACTTCAGGAGGCGTTTATGTCTGACTCTCCCAGGTGTGGTTCCGCAGAGGCGTCAACTCGCACAACCCCTGCGGCACCAGCTGGATCGAGATGGTGGGAGAAATGACGATGGTGGACGTGGGGCTCAACGACCAGGTGAGCCGTGTTCCACGCCTCCTTCCTGGGGGCGGGTCTCCAGTGGGGGCTCCTGTGCTTCCTCCCCCATCTCTTCCTGGCGCCCCATGGATGGTTGGGGAGGGGTCCCAGCACCTCCACACTCTCCCAGCCTTTGTCCCAGAGCCCCGCCTGCCTTGGGTTACCACCTCCCCCCACAGAACCCCCAGAGCAGGCAGTGGGCCCAGATCTAGGGAGAGACATGCATCCCGGAGAAGAGTTTGGTGGAGCAATATTTGGGGGAAATCAGACACCGGGGAAGGACAAAGCTGATCTTCCCCGCTTCCTAGATGCAGTCACTCTTAAATGTCACCGCGTAGTTCATACGGTGTAACCTCCTCGTAAACAAGGAAGTCTGGCGATTTTTAAGACTTTTTGTGTGAAGGTGTCAGGTCCCCCCTCTTGTACAGGGATGGAAGCTCCCAGTGAGCCGTGTGCACAGCGGTCAGGGGCCAGGCAGGCGCCAGCGGGTGCACACAGGATGGAGCATGAGGCCAGCCTCCTGGCAGAGGCACGGAGCCTCCCAGCAAGGCCTCCCGGGACCAAGGCCGGGGCCTGTCAGGCACCCCAAGTCTAGGCTCGAAATGGTTGCCCCCTGGGCCCGTCGGCTGCCCAGCACCCCTTCCTCGGCGCCCAGAGACAGAGGGAAGAGCCACCTTTCCATGGAAAACGAGGTCAGGGTCAAGGAGGTCCTTTTACTGAAAGCCCAGGAGCACCTCTGTTCCCTGGAGCAGCTTCCCTCCCGCAGAGACAGATGAGGACATGGGGCTTCGTGTCCCAGCCCGGGCCCACCAGCACCATCACCTCATCTGGCCCCGGGTCTGCCTGAAGGCCGAAGAGCCGCACAGGCCCCTGCTTCTCCTAAATTTGACCTCAGCACTCACCCCACGCCATCCACCTTCCACCCCAACACACATGTACACACCCCACTGCGTGCACAGACACGCCCTCTGGTCTTGGGGCACTCTCCTCCACCCCATCCTCCTCCCACACCCCAAAGGGAAGAGAGCCCCCAAGTCTGCCCGGCTTCCCCCCAGCAGCACCCCTGTTCCAGGTCTGGGGCATCGGCTGTGAGGACCGGGCCGTGTACTTCCGGCACGGCGTCACCCCCAGCGAGCTCAGCGGCAAGATGTGGAAGGCCATTGTCGCCAGCCGAGTGTGTGACCGGTCACACTCCGGCAGCTCCTCCAGTCTCCTCAGGTGATCCCAGGGGGCAGGGCATGGAGGAATTGGGGGGGGGGGGGTGCCCGTGGGGGGGGGCAGTGTCTGGAGGGTGCTGCTGCCCAGCCTCTGAACAGGGTGCTGAGCCTCCTCTCTGGCAGCCTGTGGGCCCCCGCCCATGCCTGGTGTCCGGGCTGGTCCCGAGGGTGGGAGGTGAGCGAGGCTGGGATGCCTGTCCCTAGGGAGCCACGATTGTCCCTGAGCAGGACCGGCCTGTTGGTCTGGCACCTCAAGGTCAGGGGGAGAAAAGGCCTCTTTGCAGGTGGATGCTCAGGGCTGAGGATGGGCAGTCTCTCTCCTCTTTGGCTGGGACTTCAGCCTGGGGCGTGCCCCAGACCCTCCGGGGACTCGTTCCCTCGGTGTTTTCCAGGCCCCGCCCCCAGAGCACCTGTTTCTGTAGATACGGGCACCGGCCCAGGTGTGCTGCTGCCTCGGTTCTGGGGCCACACTGAGGTCCTTGGCTCTAGAGCATGTGGGTGAGGCCCAGCTCAGCCCACCGGCCCTCAGATGGCAGGCAGGCGATTTAGCATCGGCTCCGCTCCCCAGGAGAGTGCCCACAGCGCTGACCTGTCCTGCTGGACATGGGACCTCACACAGTGCTCCCCCCCCGCCAGGTTCCTGTCCAAAGCCTGGGCCCTCCCACAGCCTGGTGGTCATTGCACTGTTGCACCACCAGCTGAGAGGGCGGGAGGTTTCCTCCACTTCCCGGAAGTGTCTGTCTCAGCTGGTGGTTCTCGCGCTGAGCAGCACATTGCTATCAGCTGAGAAGCTTCTGAAACCACTGATGCCAAAAATCTGCCTGACCTTGCAGTCTGCAGTGGCTTCTTACATATAACAAAAGCACAAGAAACAAAAGGAAAGATAGATGGGACTTCATCAAAATGAAAAGTTTTATGCACCAAAGCACACTCTCAGGAGAATGAAAAGATAACTCAATGGGAGGAAGTATTTGCAGAGCATACATTTGACAGGGGCCTAATATCTAGAACACACATCAAGAACTCTTACAGCGTGACAAATACAAACAGCCCAGTTTTAAAAGGGCAAATGGTTGAATGCATTTCTGCAAAGTAGATGGGTGACTGGCCATCGAGCGCAGGGAGAGATGCCAGGGGTCGTCAGTCACTGGGGAAATCCAGCCGAGCCCCAGGGAGGCACCGCTGCACACCCACCGAACAGCCGCAGCCCAAAAGCAGGCAGGGAAAGTGCTGAGACGGGAGGCACCGGAGCCGGAGTGAGCGGTGGGAAGCGGCCTGGCAGCTCCTCGGGAAGTTAGTCACCTTGTGACCGAGCAGTTTCGCTGTTAGGCAGGGACCTGAAAGAAACGAAAACAGGTGCTCGCTCAAAACAAGTGCAAATGTTTGTAGAAGCTGGACTCAGCTGACCCGATGGATGAATGGAGAAGTACTAGGAAAGGGGTCTAGCCTAAGGTGCCCAGACAACCCGCTTTTGGCGGGACAGTCCCGATTTTTAACAATTTGTCCCTCGACCCGCGGCGTTTTAAAAAAGTCCCGATTTTTGGAAAGATTCTTCTTTCCGGGCTTCTCTCCCTAGTGACTAGCCTCCTTACAATGTTGGGTTTTTTTTTTGTGTGTTTTTTTTTTTTAAATATTTTTTTATTGATTTTTTACAGAGAGGAAGAGAGAGGGATAGAAAGTTAGATACATTGATGAGAGAGAATCATCGATCAGCTGCCTCCTGCACACCCCCCACTGGGGATGTACCCGCAACCAAGGTACATGCCTTTGACTGGAATCGAACCTGGGACCTTTCACTCCGCAGGCTGACGCTCTATCCACTGAGCCAAACCGGTTTCGGCTTTTTTATTTTTTTTATTTTATTTTATATTTTATTGATTTTTTTTTTTTTTTTTTTTTTTTTTTTTTTTACAGAGAGGAAGGGAGAGGGATAGAGAGCCAAAAACATTGATGAGAGAGAAACATTGATCAGTTGCCTCCTACATACCCCCCACTGGGGATGTGCCCGCAACCAAGGCATATGCCCTTGACGGGAATCAAACCCAGACCTTCAGTCTGTAGGCCGATGCCCCCGGGGGAGGGGCGTCCGTGGCAGGGCGGGGGGGGGGGCAGTGTCTGGAGGGTGCTGCTGCCCAGCCTCTAACAGGGTGCTGAGCCTCCTCTCTGGCAGCCTGTGGGCCCCCCGCCCATGCCTGGTGTCCGGGCTGGTCCCGAGGGTGGGAGGTGAGCGAGGCTGGGATGCCTGTCCCTAGGGAGCCACGATTGTCCCTGAGCAGGACGGGCCTGTTGGTCTGGCACCTCAAGGTCAGGGGGAGAAAAGGCCTCTTTGCAGGTGGATGCTCGGGGCCAAACTGGTTGGAGCTCCTTGCAGTTTCTTCAGCCCAGGTGCAAACATTTCTTGCTTTATACCCAGGTGCAAACATTTCACTGTTCAACGTGCCTCATCTCATTTGATCCCCACAGAAGTCCTGGAGTAGGTAGATAGGAGACTCAGTGGAATCCTATTTTCATTAGCCAGAAAACGGAGATTTAGAAAGCATAGACACTTGACCTGACTGAAACCCAGTAAGAAATGGTGGGCCTTGACCATGACGTCATGTTTTCTCACTGCGCAGATATGGCCAAACACTGCCGCAGTTACATGTTTTACCCTCTGTTCTCCCTGTGTGATCTACAACAATCTGCTTCATGTTGACATTTCCTGCTGTGTTGCTGACAATTCTCTGATAGAGAAATCGGGGTGCTTCACTGGGCTGGAAAAAGTTTAGCTTTTTCCAGAAAGCAGGTCTAATTAAGCAAGTTTATTCTCTATAAAAAGCTAAGTTGACTCGCACGTGCAAAATACATATAAAGCTCTCACTGGCGCCAATCGCACGGTGTGTTTCGACCTGGCATTGTCAGTCGTGAATTTGGTTAACACTTCTAGTATAGAGAAAGGGCGAATAGCGATATTAAAATATTTCTTCTAATTAATTTCCTTTCAGTGTGCACGAATTTGTGCACCAGGGCAGTATTAAAATTAAAAATAAAAAAGAACAAAGTACTGCCACAACATGGGTGAACTTTGACATCATTATACTAAGTCACAGAAGCCAGTCCCAAAAGGTTGAGTTTTGTATGATGTCATTTACAATGAAGTGTCCAGAATAGGCAAATCCATAGAGACAGAAAGCACATGAGTGGTTGCCATGAAGTGGGGCAAGAGGAGGCTGGAGAGTGACTCAATGGTACAGTGTTTCCATTTGGGGTGATGAGAAGGTTCTGGAACTTGTTTATGGTGATTGTGGCACAATATTATGAATATATTTAATGCCACTGCATTGCATGATTTAACATGGTGAGCTTTTTGGCACATACTTTGCCACAATAAAAAAAAGATATTAGAGACCTAGCTGGTTTGGCTCAGTGGATAGAGCGTAGGCCTGCGGACTCAAGGATCCCAGGTTTGATTCTGATCAGGGGCAGGTACCTTGGTTGCGGGCACATCCCCTGAGGGAGATGTGCGGGAAGGCAGCTGATCGATGTTTCTAACTCTATCCCTCTCCCTTCCTCTCTGTAATCTGTAAAAAATCAATAATATATATATATTTAAAAAAAAAAAAAAAGATATTAGATCTCCACATCAGGAAAATTGATTTGATGGGTGTGGATACGGCCTGAGTGTTGCACAGAGAAGCTGGGACTTGCGCGGGGGGTCACACAGGTTCTCGGTGGTGGAGCAGGTGGGCAGCCCGTGTTCCTCCCTCCAGGGAGTCACAGCTCTGCCCCCTTCGTTCCCAGCGCTGGCTGTTTCTTTGGTGACGAGGTGAGGGTCGGTGGCGATTCCTGCGTGCCGAGCGACACGGATGCCTCCTCGGAAGCTGAGAGGCCAGGGCCTGAGCAGCCTGTCCCCGCAGAGTCTCCGGAAAGTCCCGGCCACTCCAAGCGCAGCTCGGCCTCGGCCGCAGAGCATGCCTTGGAGGGTGCCGGCCCGGCTGATGGGACCCCGGGGCCTGAGCCTTGCCCTGGCCAGGCCTCGCCCCCTGCCGAGCTACCCTGGACCAGTATCGACCTGAAGGAGCCCAAGAAAGTGCCCAGCCACATGGCTGAGCCCCCCGGCCTCTCCTCACTGGAGCTGCTTCCGCTGGGCCTGGAGGAGCCCTACTGCGCTGACGACCACCCGCTGTGGGTGTGGGTGTCCGGAGGAGGCTGTGCCGTGGAGGCCCACACTGTGCTCAAGTGGTTCTCCGCGCAGGCGGGTGAGAGGATGCCCGGGGCAGGAGCAGGCTGATGCCCTGTGCCTGCCATTCTAGACTGGCCTGGGGGGCATCAGGGAGAAGGATGTGGGAGGGCTCGTGGGCATTTTAGGGAGATCATAGCTTTCTAGCAAGAAAGGGCTGATGTAAAAACAAAGACAAAACCCTGGCCTGCTGCCCAGCTGTGGGCAGGCCAGACATCCCGCCCTGAGGCTCTGGCCGGCCGCAGGCCTGTCTTCCTCCATGCAGACCCTGTCCCTGTCCATCACGCCGGCCCAGACCGCCGCCTGGCGGAAGCAGATCTTCCAGCAGCTGACGGAACGGACCAAGCGGGAGCTGGAGAACTTCCGACACTACGAACAGGCCGTGGAGCAGGTGGGCGGGCGCTGGGCAGTTTCTCTGCCCCCATTTACTGTGTGCCTACTGTTTACCAGCCCCAGGGTGAGGTGGGAGAAACAGACAGACGGATGCCTGCATCCCTCTGTTCATCTCTCTCGGATGGGAAGCCTGCCTTTCTCCTTGTAGATTCCAGAATGAAAAAGCAAGTCCGTTCCTTTGTTCATCCACCCAGAGGCCTCTGGCAGGCCCCCCTGTGATGCGGGCACAGCGGAGACCCTGGAACCAGAGACCACTGCAGCCTCCGTGGGGGGGGGGCTGGGACTCACTCCGTCCTCTCCCGCAGGAGGGTCCCCGTGTCCCCGAGGGGCAGTGTTTTATGGAGAGCCGGGGACAGGCCTGAGGGGGTTGAGGGGTCCCTAGAGGTGGGAACTACATGAAGGACTCGGCTGGGTTCACGCAGAGGACACGCTGTGTCTCGAATGGCGGCACATGCATCTCCCCGTGGCTCAGGAGCCAGCCGGCAGGCGGCAGGGTGTACACCCGCTTTGCCCTGGCTCACTCGGACACTGGGCCAGGCACAGGATCCCCCCAGCCTCGTTTCCCCACCCAGAACGAGGGGTGGCGGTGACCCCCAGGCGGGATGTGCAGCTGACACTGGCTTGGGGTCTGATAGTGTCCCTGTCGTTGGGGTGAAGTGGGGGAGCTGGGAGCGCGGGGCGGAGTCCCCTGTGAGGGGCGAAGGGACGGGAGTGCTGGGAGCTGGGCACCAGGGCCCAGGTTGGGGGCCGGGGCCGCCTGTGACGGTCTCGCCTCCGGGCCTGTGTGCAGTCCGTGTGGGTGAAGACGGGCGCCCTGCAGTGGTGGTGCGACTGGAAGCCCCACAAGTGGGTGGACGTCCGCGTGGCGCTGGAGCAGTTCACGGGGCACGACGGGGCCCGGGACAGCATCCTCTTCATCTACTACGTGGTCCACGAGGAGAAGAAGGTGCAGGGGAGGGCGGGCGGGAGGATGCGGGTGCCCGGGAGGGGAGGGCGGGAGGGTGCGGGTGCCCGGGGGAGGCCGGTGCAGGAACAGGAGCAGGCCTGGGACAGCGTCTGGCACCTACAGAGCCCCAGCCCCTGTGACAGGCCCTCAGTGGCGGGCAGGTGCTGGCGGCCTGCAGAGCCATCTCCCGGTCTGAGAAGTCAGGCTCACAGAATACAGCCGCCCCCTGCACCCCCAGGGCTGGGCTGACCCGGCAGCCCCAAGAGCCCTCGCCTTGAAAGGTGAACCCGCACCTGCTCGCGAGCTGGGCTTCCATGCTGGGACTCCCAGAGCCGCCAGGGCCCTGAGGACCAGCTCTGTGGAAGGGGGCACCAGGCCGACCCTGCCCACCGGTGACAGCCTCGCCGTCGCCCCCTGTGCGCACGCAGTACCTGCACGTGTTCCTCAACGAGGTGACGACCCTGGTCCCCGTGCTCAACGAGGACAAGCACTCCTTCGCCCTCTACACCCCCGAGAGGACCCGGCAGAGGTGGCCCGTGCGTCTGGCCACCGCCACCGAGCAGGACATGAACGACTGGGTGAGTGGCGGTGGCCCCACAGGCCGGGGGCAAGGGGCAGCAGCCCTGGGCAGCCCAGCCTTGGCCTACTGCCCACCCCTTCCCCGCGGTGACCGCCATCTGCCCACGCCAGCTGGCCCTGCTCAACCTGTCCTGCTGTGAGAGCCGGCGGGTCCTCGGCCGCCCCTCCCCGCAGGCCGTCTGGTCCATCACCTGCAAGGGCGGCATCTTCGTCAGTGAGCCCAGCCCGGACCTGGAGGCCCCCGAGCACCCGCTGCCCTGCGACCAGATGTGAGTCCACCCCGCAGCCAGCGCTGCGGCTCCACAGGAGGGGCCCCCGCCCGACACACGGCCTCGCTTCGGCCGCCCGCCACGTGGCTGGCCGGTTCCCAGGCCTGAGTCTGCCTGGGCCTGCGCGGAGACCCTGCCCACGGGACATCAGGGCAGGGCACCCTGGCTCTGCAGGTGGCATTTAAAACCAGGAGGTGGAATGAGGCCACCCACTGGGGGCAGCGCAATAGAATCTGGGGCACCCACCCTTTGGTGGGGACATGGTGCTCCCAATTCTGTCCCCAGAAGGTCACCCAGAGCCAAGGAGGACCAGGGAGACACGAGACTAGAAGGCCTGCCCAGGAGGGGCAGTGGCTGTGTCTGTCTGCCCTTTGGTGATCCGCTGTCGTTTAAAAAGTCAGGTCCCCTTGGGGCCAGTGGCAGGACCTTGGCCACAGGAGGTTGACCAGGTGGCAGCCGCAGTCTGCACTCTGCCCCCAGAGGGCCTCACCGTCAGTGCAGCAGAGTAAGCGTTGCTGGCTGGCGTGGCTCATACAGCCCATGAGATGACCCTGCTCCCTGCCTACTGGCTGTCCCAGGCCCCGGGCTCCGGGGGAGGCGGCAGCCTGTTGGGATCGCCTACCCGCCCTCTCTCCCCTCCTCAGGTTCTGGCGGCAGATGGGCGGCCACCTGCGGGTGGTGGAGGCCAGCAGCCGGGGCGTGGTGTGGGGCATTGGCTACGACGGCACCGCCTGGGTGTACACAGGTGGCTACGGAGGAGGCTGCTTCCAAGGTGAGGGTGGCCCGTGGCCCACGGCCCGTGCCCCGAGTTGGCAAGCCCGGCTCCCCGCCCTGCCCGGCCTTCCTAGCAGTTCCCTCTCGTCCCTCTGGCTCCCCGGCCCCACGCCAGAGCCGCCGTCCTGGTGTTGACACTCAGTTGGCAGCCAGGTGACAGGTGACCTTCAGCCCTGCCAGCCTCTGCAGAAGGCGTTCCTGGGGCAGCGGGAGGTATGGCAGCCGGAGACCAGGCCCGCCTCCCATGTGCCTTCCCGGCTCGAAGGCTTAGACAGGCGGCCACCGAGGCCTCCACCTGCCCAAGCCCTCCTTCCATGGACGGGCCTCAGGCACAGGGGCTCCCGGCACCCGGGTCCCGAGTCCCAGGCCCAGGTTCCAGCTCCTCGTTAGCTCTGGGAGGCGGGGTCCCTTTCTCCTCCCTGGAGAGGGAGCAGAACCAGCGCTGGGACGGACACTCCATGCCTCGCCCTGCGCGGGGCTGGCTGACGCTGTAGAACTGTGTCCACGGGGCCGCGCCTCCCACAGAGCTAACGGCATCCATGGTGGTGAGGCAGGAAGTGCCTCGTCCCACTTCACAAACGAGATTGGGGCTCCTGGAGGTTAGTGAGTGTTAATAGGGTGAGCTCACCTGCCTGGGCCAGGTAAGTGGGATGCTGAGGGGAAGAGGTGCAGCCAGAACAGAGTGTGAGGCCGAGGAGCTGGCGGGGTGTGGGAGGTGCATAGCAGGTTCTCCCCACCACGGCTCTGCAGACCCACAGCGTCAGAGACCCCGGCCGGCCGCCCTGCGAGGCGAGCTCAACAGGCCTGTGAGCCCTTCTCGGCTGACCTGCAGCCTGACCCCCCACCCAGTCTCTGGGGCCTTCGGGGCCCAACAGGCTGGTGCGGCCCGTGGCCTGGCAGCGTCTTCTCCCCCAGGCCTGGCCAGCAGCACCGGTAACCTCTACCCGCAGTCAGATGTGAAGTGCGTCTACATCTACGAGAACCAGCGCTGGAACCCCGTCACGGGCTACACCAGCAGGTGAGCACGCAGCCGGGGGAGCACACCAGCAGATGAGCACACAGCGGGGGGGGAGCACACCAGCAGGTGAGCACACAGCGGGGGGGAGCACACCAGCAGGTGAGCACACAGCGGGGGGGAGCACACCAGCAGGTGAGCACACAGCGGGGGGGAGCACACCAGCAGATGAGCACACAGCGGGGGGAGCACACCAGCAGGTGAGCACTCAGCGGGGGGGGGGGGAGCACTCAGCGGGGGGGAGCACACCAACAGGTGAGCACTCAGCGGTGGGGAGCACTCAGCGGTGGGGGGGGAAGCACACCAGCAGGTGAGCACGCAGCAGGTGAGCACTCAGCGGGGGGGGGGGAGCACACCAACAGGTGAGCACTCAGCGGGGGGGGGAGCACACCAACAGGTGAGCACTCAGCAGGGGGGAGCACACCAACAGGTGAGCACTCAGCGGTGGGGAGCACTCAGCGGTGGGGGGGGGGAGCACACCAGCAGGTGAGCACGCAGCGTGGGTGCTGTGTCAGCTGCCGGGGGGCTTCCAGTGCGACCGGCCCCGGCCACAGTCTTGACAAAACGGGGCAGCCACGGCCACGGGGGTGCTGCAGCGTGAGAGCTGGTGTCCGGCCCCGCTGCGCCCTCAGCGGCTTTTCTTCTTGAGTCTTTAAATTGAGGAATAATTAACAACTCACTGGAGAGGTACAACATACATGAAATGACAAAACGTGAGTGTACATCCAGTGAGCTGCAGACCGATCTGTGTGCGTGGAGACAGGTTCATCCACAGATAGGGGTGGACAGAGAGGTGGGCTTCCTGCCCTCACCGTGGCCACAGCCCTCCGTGGATTGCAGGCCAGGCCCCCTCATGATGTGGGGTCACCCCAGTTGTGGTCCCGGACCTGGGACAGTCCATCCCTTCGGCGGTACATGTCCCAGTGTGTCTGTCACTGGCCAGTGCCTGGGTGGGACAGGCAGTTCTTGCCTCTGGAGTCACACACAGACACACACACACCTGCCTTGTCCTGCGCAGGGGCCTTCCCACTGACCGGTACATGTGGAGCGACGCCACGGGGCTGCAGGAGTGCACCAAGGCGGGCACGAAGCCCCCCTCCCTGCAGTGGAGCTGGGTAAGTTTCGGCGGCGGCCAGGGGTGGGGTGGGTGGGAGGGGGCAGGGGTTGGAGTAGAAGGTCGGCCTGCACTGACCCGCCCCTTCCCCAGGTTTCTGACTGGTCCGTGGACTTCAGCGTTCCTGGGGGCACTGACCAAGAGGGGTGGCAGTATGCCAGTGACTTCCCTTCGTAAGCATCTCTCTCTCCCTCCCTCCTCTCTCTCTCCCTCCTCCCTCCTCCCTCCCCCCTCCCTCTCTCTGCATGGGAGGGCCCCATGGGGCTGCCCTGAGTAGCAGGACTGGGAGTGTGGCCCAGCCAGACCCTCCTCCCAGCAGTGGCCTCACCACCTGCCAGGCAGAGCCCTGCCCTCTGCCCCCCACCCCCAAGCACCTGACCCTGAGTGCTGCCTGGCTGCCGGCAGGGCTTGGAACTGGCTGGAGAGGTGCGGAGGGGCCCCGGGGGCCCACGGAGGATGCCCTGGCTCCTTCCACACCTGGTGGTGTCTGCCCGGCGGGTGGGGGGCCAGCCGGGGCCTGGAGCTCTGGGCCGGCAGGAGGGTCGGAGGCGGCAGAGCGAGGAGAAGCGGGGCCCTGGGGGCCCCCAGGCCGTCAGGGAGCACCAGTCATCGGTTCAAGTGGAAGACGGAGCTGGAGAGCCCAGCCCACCAAGGAGTGACAGGTGCCAGGGGCCCCGGGCCCTCGGCTTGGCTGTTGCCAGGAAGGGCCCTGGTTGGGCCTGGGGTGGCAAGGGCGCAGAGCTCCCTCGCCAGAACCCCCGGTCGGCAGCTGCCATGTCCTGGCCCTGGGAGACCCGGCCAGGCAGGTGCCTGAAGGAGGAGCGTCGTGTCCTGTGATACCTGCTCCCTCAGCCCTCCACAGCCCACGGCTGCAGTGGAGAGAGGGTGTGTGCGCGCATGTGTGTGCGGTGTCCCTTTCCCCGAGGGGTCTCCAGTTCAGCTTCTTCCTCTTGCAGCTCCTATCACGGGTACAAAACCATGAGGGACTTTGTCAGGAGGAGGTGCTGGGCCAGGTAAGGACTGAGCACAGGTAGCTGGGGTGTGGCCTGGCCCCCCCCGTCCTGTCCCTCCCAGGCCAGACCCCCCTCCTCCCACCTCAGTCCCCTGGAAGGAACGGGGAGGGAGGCTGGGGAAGGAACACAGAATCAAAGTAAATGTCAGCCCAGGAAGTGCCCGCGGCTCCCAGCGCTTCTGATTTTTGGAGAGTTTGCTTTCAAGAACAAATAAAGAGAAATGTCATTGGCAGCCTCTGCTTGTGGGCAGGACGGGAGGCCTGGCGGGGGTGGGAGCGGCCGGAGCAGGAGGGTGGGGCCACCCATCCAGGAAGGGGTGCCCACCCAGGTGCGGGGGTGGGTGGGGTGTCCTGCCCTCCCCAGGGTCCCATAGAGGCTGCTTCCTCCTGAGCCTCTGAGTGCCCAGGGCAGGCGGCCCGCGGTGGGCAGTAGCCTCTGGGTGCCCAGGTGCCCAGGCTGTGCTCTCCCCACTGCACAGGAAATGCAAGCTGGTAACCAGCGGGCCCTGGCTGGAAGTGCCCCCCATCGCCCTCAGGGACGTGTCCATCATCCCCGAGAGCCCGGGCGCCGCCGAGAGCGGGCAGAGCATCGCCCTCTGGGCCGTCAGCGACAAGGGGGACGTGCTGTGCCGCCTGGGAGTGTCCGAGCTCAACCCCGCGGTGAGCACCCGGTCCCTGCCCCTGGGGACCACCAGCCTGCCCACCTGTGGTCACTCTCGGGGTTCCAACAGATTGTTCCAGCAATAGGATTCCAGGGGTCACCAGCTCTGTGGGCAGTTGGCACCGAGGATGAGGTTGGCAGGAGGAACTGCCAGCTCCCGGACCCGGGGCTGGGGTGGCAGCGGCTGGGCCAGGCAGCCCTCAGCGCCTCCTCGCTCGGTCTCCAGGGCGCCTCCTGGCTGCACGTGGGCACCGACCAGCCCTTCGCCTCCGTCTCCATCGGGGGCTGCTGCCAGGTGTGGGCCGTGGCGAGGGACGGCTCTGCCTTCTACCGGGGCTCCGTGTCCCCCGCCAAGCCGGCTGGTGAGTGCCGCCGCCCTGGAGGGAGGGTATCAGCGAGGCTGCAGGCTTCCGTGCGGGGAGGCTGCTGCGGCCCTGGCTTCCCGTCCGCTCAGCATACACGTGGCCAACGCAGCCTGCGGCCCGCTGCTGGCACAGCCAGGATCCCGAGGCCACAGCCCTGCCCACAGCTGCGCTTCACCCTCCTGGCCTCCTGCCAGGGCAGCTGGTGGTGGGCACTGCTGGGTGCCTTGCAGGTCCTGCCCGCCAGGGTCCCGCCGGTTGGGCCCCTCCTGGGGTGGCCCCGCTCAGCCCACTCCCAAGTGGCCACTCCCCGGAGGACAGCCTAGGCCGGCGTGTTCTTGACCGGATGTCTGGACAGTGTCCGGCCGGGGAGGGCGGCACCGGGTGGCCGGATGAAGAGGTGGAGGCTGGTGCAGCGTGCTGTCCACACAGGGCCTCGGGCCTCGGGCTTGCACAGGAGCTGCAGGGCCGGCTCTTGCCCACACGCCGGGCTGGGCACCGGGTGTGCCTGTGAGACCGGCCCTTCCAGCCCCACCGCCTGGAACCTGCCCCGACCTTTTTGGGGTCTGGAGAGGCCAGGGTGTTGGAGGTCAGCCGGGCATGGCAGTGCACCCCACCCACCTGGGAGCTGCAGAGGAGGCCATGGGCCCCTAGCGCCTGGGGTCGCAGGCCCAGTGCTCCCCGGGCACACCCACGTCCGACCTTCCTCTGTAGGTGACTGCTGGTACCACATCCCGTCCCCTGCCAAGCAGAGGCTGAAGCAGGTGTCTGTGGGCCAGACGTCCGTGTACGCTGTGGATGAGAATGGCAAGTGGACCTGGTCCCCCGTGGTCACCAGGGGGGTTGGGGTTCCCTGTGCCCCCCGATGTGATGACACCCTCACCAGCCCCAGGTCCTGACACAAGGCCTTCGTAAGCCACCAGGAGAGGCCAAGGCCAGCCTCCACACAGATCTCCCCACGTTCCCCAGGGTGGGGACCCGGCCCTGCCCCACTGGTCAGCCCTGCCTGGCGAGGGCACATGCCACGGCCTGGGCGACGCTGTGAGCGGGGAGCAGAGGCCGCATGGCCCCTGTGACCCTCCCAGTCCTGCCGTGCAGCTGTCCCGGCGGAGCTGACGAGGGCAGGAAGGGCGGGGACCGGCCGGGGACCCAGGCCGTCCTGTCTGTAAAGAATTCCTTGTCCTCAGTTTCTCATGCGTAGAAAGCAGGGGAGGATGCCAGCCCAGCCCGGTGGCACCAGGTGTGGGGAGGGCAGAGCTGTCCTCTGGGCTTCCCTCCCGCTGTGGGGACGCAGGGGGAGTGGGGGTCGGATCACTAGCTTCGCAGGCCCTACAGTGGGTCACCGTGGTCACCCCTTCTCTCCCCAGGGAACCTGTGGTACCGCCAGGGAGTCACGCCCAGCTACCCGCAGGGCTCCAGCTGGGAGCACGTGTCCAACAACGTGCGCCGCGTGTCCGTGGGGCCCCTGGACCAGGTCTGATGCTCACTCTGGGGTGGGGACCTCGGGGGCTCGGGTCCTGCTCTGGTCTCCCCACTGCTGCCCCCACGGTGCCACCGCGGCCCAGGCTGGGCCTCCAACAGGTGTGTGTTCTAGGTCTGGGTCATCGCCAACAAAGTGCAGGGCAGCCACAGCCTGAGCCAGGGCACCGTGTGTCACCGCACCGGCGTGCAGCCCCTGGAGCCCAAGGGGCAGGGCTGGGACTACGGCATCGGGGTGAGCGAGTGGGGATGGCTGCTGGGTGTACGTGCTCCCCGTTGGCCTGGGGTTGGTGGGAGACCGGGCAGTCCCTCAGGGGTCCTTGGGCCCCAGCCGTCTGGAAGGACGGCCTCTGCCCTCGACCCCCTGCGGCCCCGGTGACGCAGCTCTCTCCCTCAGGGGGGCTGGGACCACATCTCCGTCCGGGCCAACGCCACCAGGGCCCCCAGGAGCACCGCCCAGGAGACGGCTGGAGGGCAGGGCCTCCCCGGCGGGCCCTCCAGTGTGGCCGGCACCCTGCCGGAGGCCGTGGGCCCCGTCTGCTGCTGAGGCCCCTCCCCACCTGGTGGTGCCGTCTGAGGAGTCAGTGCGGACCCGTGAGCCTTCCCTCGGAGGGACCCTCTCTGTGCTGAGATGCGGGTCCTGGCCTGCGGTCACAGCTCAGGCACCAGAACAGCCCGGAAATGTGAAGCCTGTGGACGCTCCCCACACAGCCCCTGAGCATGGGCGCTGGTGTGGAGAGGCACCCTCACCAGCCTCTCCCATTGTCCATTCCACTCGGCCTCCCGGCCTCCCGGGGTGGGAACCTGGAGCCTCCAGGAAGGCTGGCCCCTGGGGGAGCCAAGCCCACCAAGAGCCCCCGGGCCCAGGGGTCCAAACCAGAGGTAGCCGAGGGCGCGGGGCCGTGGCCCACGCTGTGGTCGTTCTCAGCACGGGACTTCAGATACAGTCTCATTCCAAAGGTCAGGGGCGGAGTTGGCAGGTCCAAGACAAATGCTGGGGAGGTGGCCCCTTCCCCAGGTGGGCATGGGCCCCCGCGGTGGCCAGGACCGAGGGGCCTGGGAGGAGTGGTTGGAGTGCTCAGCTAGCCCTCTCAGGATGGGCCGGGGGCTGGGCATCGTTTACTTCTGATCATGTTGCAGGAGGGGCAGGGATGGAGACCGAGGCCCAGCCAGGCGGTGGAGGGCGCCTCCCAAGCACCCCCTCCTGTCCCGCAGCTTCTGGCTGCTTTTTACCCGACGACGCCCCAGTTGGTGAAGTCCCCCGTTCGCTTCCTACACCCAGTCCAGATCTGGAGCTGCTCTCAGCCTCAGTCCCATTGGTGGGTTGTCCTGAGAAGCCGCACCTGAGAGCAGCCCGGGCACCTGGGCCCCACTGAGCCGGGCGGAAGGCCGGCTGGGCGATGGAGCGGGACCACTTAGCCCTTCCCAGGGGCTTCCCCGCACGCTGGCAGGAGGCTCCGACCTCCCTCGGGGGCCTCCCCAGGGACTGGCGGGTGCCAGCAGCCTCTGCGTTTGCAGGTGGGACCAGGAGGCGTGCGTCTGGGCCCAGGGCCCGAGGGGCCTGTGGGGTTGCCGGTCTCGGTCTGTTTACATTCCTCGTCAGGGTCTGCCTGGGCATCACGGTTCAATCTACAGCAGCTGCTGCCCCCTCGCTGTGGCTCCCCGTGGCTGGTCGCACCCTGTCCTTCCTCACTGCTGAGCACCGACTGTTTACCTGCTCGGCATCATTGAACCATCTTGAGTCCCAGACGCTTTATTCAATTAAAACTTACACCAGCGTGTGAGTGGCGAGACTTTTTTTTTTTTTTTTTTTTTTGCTACAGTTCTGTGTACAACACGGTTCCCCATGTGTAAGGCAAAGTGCTGTGAACTCTTATTTTCATTCTGTGGCACAACATCAATCTCCTGAGTACTTTGAAGGGGCCATTAGGGAAAATAAAAGCCAAATGTGGGCCATTTAAGAAACATTTCCACCGCAATTACGGCCGGGCCGTGCAGTCCGGGGCTTTCCCGACGGAGAAGCGGAAGTTCTGGTTGCTCTGCTCCACGGCGTTCGCCTCGGGAGCCGTGTGGTCTGCAGGCAGGTCCGGGGCTCCCCGAGGACAGTGGGTCTCGCTGGGCTTCGGGCCCACAGTGAGGTCGAGGGAGCAGACGCAGCAGCAGGCCTCTCCCCAGGCCTGTTCCCTCGCGCCCCCATATTTAACCCCCAAAGCGGAACCGAGGTCTTTAAAAATCCGTAACTGGCCACAGGGCATGCGAGTGCCCTCCGGCCTCTGCTGAAGGACGACGTGGGCGGGTCAGGAGCAGGAGGTGCAGGTGCGCGAGAGCAAGAGCCCCCACGGGTGTCCCACGAGGCGGTGGCGCAGGCCCTCTGTGCCCGGCACGCTCTCCCAGACAGAGGGCACCGCTGGGCACCCCCCTGTGCTCCCAGCTCAGTTTGTGGGTTCCCTCAGCAAGTTCAGGGGCGGACTGAGGCCTGCTCTGGCCTCAGCTCAGCCAGGACAAGAGCCACCAGGTTTGCGGGCCTCACCTGTTTGTTCAGCCAGCGGGCCATCCTCAGCAGGGGCCGCCTGGACCCCTCCTGTCCCAAGCTCGGAGCTGCTCTCAACCTCAGGTCCCATTGGTGGGCTGTCCTGACCACGCACCTTCCCAAGCAGCCGCACCTGAGGGCAGTCAGGCGCGCGTGGGCCGCACCTGGCAGATGCCGGAGGCTGGCTGGGACGGCGGGGCCCGGGCCAATCGGGCCTCCCGGGGCCACCTTCCAGAGGGGCCTGCACTGGGGCCGAGGGAGGGCCCGGCCAGTGTCTGACCAGGTAAGGGACCACGGCTGGGAAGGGTGCCGCCCGCTCCTCGGTGCCAGGGCTGCAGTAAGTGGCTGGGCCCGGCCCTCCGGGGCTGAGACTGAGGGCACACGGCAGGTACGGGCCCTGGGCTGCACAGCGCCACTCCCAGCCCAGCCTTCCCCCGTCTACAGGCCCAGGAGGCCGGCAGAGATCTGGGACAGGGACTGGGCCCCGCATGCCAGGCCAACTCTACCCTCACCCCAGCCCCTGTCACTGTGGTTCCGGCCCGAGGCTGCCAAGGGCCCTGCCCCCTCCCCACGCTGGCTGTGGGCAGGAGGACAAAGTCGCCAAGCCTGCTGCAGCCAGCGGGGCAGGAACACAGGAGGAAGCTTGGCCCAAGGCTGCGGAGACCTGCCAACATGCCAGGCCCGTCTTTGCAGAGCGGCCTCGGGTGGGGGAGGGCGCTCCTGCCACCCAGGCTCTCCCCAGAGGGCCCCGAACCCCAACCGGGACCCAGCATCCTAAAGTCCTATTAGACCACACAGCCCAACTGTGACAACGAGCAGCAAACCTGGGGGCACCCGGGGGAGGCCAGGGGTGCTCCCTCCCCGAAGGGCCAGGCTGAGAGCCCAGCCCCCAGGGGAGCAGAGCGGAGCCTCGTGGCCCCTCTCCCATCCTGCCCCAGCCCCTCGGCACCAGCACAGCCCCTCCGCCCCCCAGCCCCTCCCGGCAGGAGCCCCCGCACAGAGGAGGCAGGAAAAGATCGGCCTCCAGGGCCTCGGAAGGTCCCTTTCCAGTTCACGTGAGGTCGTCCGATGAGGGATCCTGTCTAACATGCTGAACTCGCTTCAGCCATCGTGGCTCAGCCACACTCCCCAAGTGGCCCTCAGCTTTACTTGCTTTGTGCCTCAGTTTACCCGAATGAGGAGTCTCTGGTGTAGGTTGCAGGCGGTCCCTTCCTGGGCCTGGGCTTCAGGAGGACTGGGGACACGTACCCAGGTCCCCTCTCCCTGGGCCTCCCCGGCTTCAGGAGGGAGAGCCTGCAGGGAAGGGAATCTACCTACGAAGGCCTGTCAGCTCCCGTCTGGTCAATGGAAAAACAGGTCCAGGGCCCCCGCTCCGTCCAGGAGGCAGCGGAGTGTGGGGGGAAGGTGAGGCCGCTGGGGCCACGGCCACGCGGGGACGTCACCCCGGCCGGGGGCTGGGTGGGCCGGGCGGGGGCTAGGAGCCCTCGCGGAAGCTGTGGATCTGGGTGGAGTACTTGTGCAGGTGGCCCTCGGGCTGGGCCTCCGGGGCGGCCCCCGCCGCCTGCTGCTGCTGGTAGTGCTGGTAAAGCTTGGGGCCGGGCCCCTCCAGGCCAGGCAGGCGGCCGCTGGACATGGTGAGGATGGTGGCCGTCAGCGACTTGATGTAGTTCTTGGCCAGCGTGAGGGTCTCGATCTTGGAGAGCTTCTTGTCGGCGCGCACGTGGGGGATGACCTCGCGCAGCGCCTGGAAGGCGTTGTTGAGCGTGTGCATGCGCTGCCGCTCGCGCTCGTTGCTCTCCAGCCGCCGCTGGACGCTGCTCTCCCGCCGGCCCGCCTGGCCCGCCGGCCCCGGCCGCCGGCGCCCGCCCTCGGCCCGCGCCCCCTGCGCCCGCGCCGTCCTGCTCCGCAGGCCCCTGGCCAGCGGCGCCCCGGCGGCCGGCTGGGGCCGCTCGGGGGGCTGCTCCCCCGGGGGGGCCTCTGTGTTCTGCGGGGGCGCCCGGCGCCGGGGGGGCCGGCTCTTGGTCTTCATGGCTCCAGACCGGTTGTCCCGGGGGTGGTGGCTCTGAGGGGCCCTTGGAGCTGCAATCCAGAACACAGGCCCCCCCTGGTCACTCGGTGGCCGGTGGACACTCGGAACAGCCAGCGGGCACTCAGGGCCGCTGCCCGCAGCAGCCTCCTCGCTGCCCGGTGGCCGCTGGCCGCTTGGTGCTCAGTGACCCCAGGCTGCTTCCCATGGACACACGGAGCCCCGAGCTGACCCCACGCCCCCCCTTGTTCCTGTTTGATCTCATGGGGACCCCTCAAACCTCTCCCTGACCTGGTGGCCCCCTCTCCCCCTGAGGGAGGCATCCTGAGACCCCAACTTCTCTCTGGCCGCTGCTTCTCGCTGCCCCCAGGTGCCTCCTGGTCTAGGGGTCCGGCCACCCAGGGCTGTCACCCCTCCCAGCTCAGGGCGCCCCTCTGCCCTGCCTCCCGCGTGCCGGACCCACGGCACCGATTCCGGCCACCGCAGTGCCTGCATGGCCCGGCCATGTCACCTGCGGGGACAGCTCTGGGCCGGCCGCTGGGACCGGGGTCAGGGTCAGGGTCAGGGTCAGGGTCAGGGTCAGCAGAGGTCAGCAGTGGCCGGCGCCTGCAGCAGCCCCCGGGCTAAGCTGCAGGGGTCCCAGTCAGGGCTCTGCGCCCAGACCTCCCCCCAGGTTCCTCCCCGGACCCCACCTGGCCCTGCCCCGGGCCTCTCCCCGCGGCTCCCCCGCCGCCGACCCCAGCCCGTTACCTGGGGACCAGCGGTCGCACGCGCCGGGCTGTCCACGGGGGACAAGGACACGTCGCTTTAGCCGCCCCAGGCGGGGCCCGGCCGCATGTAAATGAGCGCGGGGCGGGCGGGGCGGGGCCGCGGGGGCGGGGCGCGCACCTGGGACCGGGGGCCCCGCCCGGAGCGGGACGCTGGGCCCGGAGCCCGGGGACACGGGCCGGCCCGGGCCGCACCTGGCCTTGGGGTCAGGCTCCGCACGCGGAGCGAGCGCGTCCGGGGAATTCGCGGAGGAGCCGCGGGTAAGGCCCGTGTCCCACACGGGAAGCGGCCGGTCCTCCGGGGAAGCAGCCCCGGTTCCGGGGACCCGGCAGCGCCCGGGGCTCTGGGACACCCTCCCCCACCGCCCCCCACCCCCGCCCCCACCGCACCCCATCCCCGCCCCCACCGCCCCCGCCCCCACCCCCGCCCCCACCGCACCCCATCCCCGCCCCCACCGCCCCCGCCCCCGCCCCCACCCCCGCCCCCACCGCAACCCACCCCACCCCGCCCCCGCCCCCACCCCCGCCCGCCCGGGGCTCTGGGACACCCCTCCCCCACCGCATCCCATCCCCGCCCCGCCCCCGCCCGCCGGCGGCCCAGGCGCCAGGGGAGGGCCCTGCCCGCGGAGCTCCTGTCGCCGGGAAATGACTGGTCCCGGGGGAGCAGCAGGCAGCGGGGTCCAGCCCCCCACGTGCTTGACTGGCCCGCACCGGCCTCCCCCGCGGCCTCCCCCGCCGCTCACAGGCGCCGGAGCCAGTGAGGCCCCGGGGCGGGTGCCCACCCCCGCAGGATCAGGGGGTCCCAGGTCTCCATCCGCTCCCGGAGCTCACAGGGGAGTCGTTATCCCGGAGGTGGGGCCGGTGTGGGCAGTCTTGCTAAGAGCCTGTTCGGTGCTCTAGGCAGCTGGGACCAGGAGAGCGAGGACGGGCGATGGGCTTAAGGCCACTCAGGGCTCAGAAAGCTGGTCTGGACCTGACTGGCCTCGGTTTGGGGCTCACTGGATGCTGGACCTCAGGCACCGAAATGCTCCTGAAAGGCATCCAGGCGGAGGACTGCACACACGCGAAGGCCGCACAAAGGCAGGTGAAGGCTGTTTCCGTCCCGCCGCCTGTTCTCCGGGCGCCTCCGAAAAGGGCATCCGGAGGAGACCAGGGCCGTGCCAGCTGCCTGCCCAGGGTCTTCCGTGTTCGAATTACAGAATAAACACAGCAACAGAGTTTATAAATATATAACTATATTTATTTTGAATATTAAATAGTTTTTAAATTACAAGCAATTTGTTGAATCACACTATGCATCAATATACAGTAAAAATCTTACAATTTAAAAATGTACACAATTTAAACTGAAAGTCCCTCCAGTTACACTGCCGCGAAGATAACGCTTGCGATTGTAAGGGAACCGCACAGGTGTGACTGCCCCTGGTCCTCCTCTGCGGGCAGGACTGGACAGTGGATGCCCACTGAGGCCTACTAGACACGTCCAGTCATTCAAACAACGGCTGGTGGTGGTTCAATACTGTCAACACACCTTTAAGGATTTACTTATACACTAATGAGAACTTTCTTTTTAACAGTCAACCCCGTCACAACCTAGGAAGATTGAGATTCGGATCTGAAGAACTTCAGCATTCTTCCTCTAAGGCTACTCTCAGATGGCTCAGGTCTTGCAGCCCCTGACCCAGTCCACGTCTGGAATTTTCAGAGACCAGCTGAGTCAAGGTAAGCCGGGAGCTGCATCCCACACCTGGGCCGTCAGGGCAAACGTGCGGCAAGTGAAGTCATTAACCCTACACCCTACACACACCCTGTGGGCGTGAAACTAAGAGGCTTTTAACGGTGTCTCATGGCAGCAAGACATACAAAGACTGGTCTTAGGTAAACCCATTTCTATAGAAACCACAGTAAAAATAGAGTTTTCAGTTCAGCGTTGCTGAGTGCTTCATCCTCACGATGAATGCTTCTTCCCAGACCACAGTCCGTGTCTCAGAGGATCCGGGAGCGCTTTTTCTACATTCTCTCTGACTTACAACAGTCACTGATCCACAGCGAACAGCTAGCTAGGAAGGAAATGAAGGTTAGGTTATCTGTGGGATTAAACTCCACCAAAGTAGGACTAATCGAACTGAAACCTGATCAATCCCAAGGGAGTCAGGAAATGTGGGAGCCCGCGTTCCCTGGAGCTCTGACCTGTTCACTGCATAGCTTACTGGACAAGTACTGCTTGGAAACTGCGGGTAGACAACCCAGTAAAAACAAAAAATGAAACAGAGCACACACTGACATTTCAAAAATGGGCTGAGAAGTTCAAAGTTTAGTGTACATGATTTATTTCCTGCGTATTGCTTGAGATTTCAAAAGAACATGTTCACACACGTGTTCATTATAAATATAAAATATTCCCCACCATGCAACCCCACAGTAAGATCTATTCCAACCCCCCCCCCCCCAACTCAATGTATAAAATGCCTTTTTGGCAATTAATTATGAGAGCGACACAGACTTAAAATAAATTAAAATGTTAAAATCTCCTTAATCATAGTGAAAAATGGTCAACCCAAAAATATCAGATTTAGCCTGGGCTGACTGTATAAGAAGACTATATGTTCTATGGATTGGCTTGGTTTTAGTCATTAAGTCTGAACCCCTTAAACCTATACTTGGAAAAAAACTAGTATAATGGTCTTATTTCTTGCTAAACCAAGCTGGTAGTTAGATGTAAAAATTCAGAAAGCTCAGAAAGTCTCCATAAGAAACTCAGTTTGGCAACTTTGGAAAAATCACCTTCTAATGCCCTGTCAACTTCTCAAAGTGCCCTCCACAGGGTGCGGTTCCCATCAGTGCCCCTGGCTACACCCCCCCCCCCCCCCCCCCCCGAGGTGACCTGTGCTCACAGCAAGAGAGGGGAACATCACTGCGAGTGTAAAACTTAGAGGAGTGAACCAGAATTGGTAATAAGGACCAACATTTACTACTGAAACTAGCCAGCGTCCACATCTGCCTCTCGCCCTCGGACAGTTCCTGTGCTCAGATCCCGGGCCCCAGGCTGGAGCCGGGAAAGCACATCAGCACCCAGAGCACCGGGGGAGGGCGGCCTGGGGGCCACAGCCCTGGCTCAGGACGGACCGCCGAGCCCCCCGCAGCGCCCCCTCAGCGCAGTGCTGCTCTGGCCCGGGAACTCCCGGTGAGAGGCCAGCAGCATGGGTCACACTGCACACTGGTCCTCCGCCGGGAAGGGGGACTTGGGCTGAGTGCGGATGGGAGGGTCAGTGCAGGGCGCCCTGAGGCAGCCTCTGGGTGAACCACCAGGCAGGGCTGCCCAGCTTCCGGCCAGGAGGATGAGCTGGCTGTGGGGGCCTCGCCTGTCCCTGTCCCCCCTTCCTCAGCTGCGGGATGGCGTACGGGCATCTCCTGGACGGGACATGCCTCGGAGGGTTCTGAGGGGCAATCAGCTCTGGGGCTGTAAGCGCTCGCCGCCGCAGGCCGGGCGTTTAGACAGAGCCTGGGGAGCAGCTCCTCCCTCCGGCCCGCTCTCTGCAGAAGGAATTCAAGGACCCGGCCGCCACAGCAGGTGTCCGTGGCGGCGTGGGCTCGGAGGGAGTGCCTCTGGGGGGGGCCAGGGGCCGCCCAGCTAGCCAGCACTCAGTTCTGGGGTGTGCCACCTGTTGGTGTTTACCAAAGGGTTTAAAAGTCAGGGGTGGAGGGGGAATCAGAGGCTGCAGGGCCCTCGGCTCCTCAAAGAGGCCTCCCCGCTCAGGAAACTACCATGTCGAGGAGACAGCAGGTTCTGGCCGATGGCCCAGGAGCAGCCTCTCGGGACCCAGAAGCGTTTCCTATGAGGAGACGAAGCTCTAACGTTCACGGAAAGGAACCAGCTTTACAGCTCCAGCCACTCTGAGGACTGCACACACTCAAATGCTTAAGCTGTACAAGTACCATGCAGGCAAATTAACTATAAAACAACCAGGAAATCAAGCTGGTGGCAGCACCAGCTTGACCTGCCGTATTTTCCTTGAATAACTTAAGGTTCTGTACAGAATAAGGGACTCTAGAACGGTCACCCACAGTGCAATGAAGAAGCAGTTAGTGATCGCTCACACAGAATACATAGGCTCCCGGTGCCACGTGCCACCAGCGCCCCGGGGCCCCTGTGCGCAGACGGGTGCCCGGGTGTGGGCACAGAGAGCCCCGCGTGGGGATCAGTGACAGCCGGGAGCCACACGCACCAGGAGCGCCAGCCCTCCCCAAGGCAGACCGGAGCCCGGTGTCTTTATGGTGAGAGGGGCTGCGGGCGCCCAGCTGCCAGGGCAGCGAACCACATGGGACAGGACCCAGCTGCCCAGACAGGCTTCCTGCCTGGGTACCGGCTCGGGCCCGGGGCTGGCTCCCGCTCCGCCTCCTGAGTCTCCTGTCCTGCTCAGCAGACGTCGCGTGGATGGCGTTCTCGGTGGCAGCACAGGCCCGCGGGCGGGGAAGCAGCCTGGAACCTGAGATGTGTCGGCATCCACCTAATCCTTCTCTCCGTCTTCGCTGCTTCCTGTTGGGGGAGAGCAAGCAGAGCGGTTCCAGTGGCGTCCCCGACAAAAACGGCCGGGCACAGCGGATCCACATGCAGGACCTGGGTGGCACCGCCACCTGCCGCGCCCCTGTGCCTTCCCAGGCAGCACAGCTGCTCGGCTCCCACGCCGGTCAATGCCGAGGCCGAGGGCGAGGAGAGCCAGTGGCGGCACACATCTGCCCCGCCAGGCGTGAGGGTGTGCGCCCTATCTGATCGGCACAATTAAGCGCAGCACAAACACAAGCAGAAGCTCTTTATGTTTCCCAGTTATTGTTTGATCTGCAAACTTCAAATAAAGAATGTACCTCTTAACCTTTATCTTGCGATCTAGTTATGGGGAAAAAAGGGTCCATATGTTCAGATAATACAACTTCAAATGTGCCCCGCCCGTGACTTCCCACCCAGACCCTGGTATCGCACCAGGACCAAGACTTAATGGCAAAATCAACATTCCTGGGGAAACCAGGGTGAATTTGGGCTCAATCCCAACATCGGGGCCAAGTGTTCCTGAGAGCGCAGCCTTCTGAAGAGGAGAAGCTGGAGACGGGCCAGCCCGCGGGGGCAGCGAGGGGACGCCTGCAGGAGTACCGAGCCCCAGACACCGGCTCGGGGGGTGCGGTGTGGCCCCGCCAGCTGCGTGGAGAGCTGTCCCTAACCCTCCCGCCAGGAAAGCCGCAGGTTAACACACACTCAGGAATGGGACGGTCCCCAGGACGCCCCGGCCGCCCCTCACCTCCGGGCTCGATGTCCGAGTCGGTGAGGTGTGTGAGGGAGAAGCTGGCGATGCTGGCGGGCGAGATGGAGAAGCGGGAGTAAGGCGCCGGCTGGGACCAGCTCTGCTCGGCGCCCCGGGGCGGCGGCGGCGGCGAGAAGTACTTGGAAGCCTGCAGAGCCGGCTTGGAGCTCAGCAGGTTGCTTGTTGTCTTGGACATGAAGGGGTCTGCGGAGAAGTCGTCATCCCATTCGAAGCCTCCACCTACGGGACAGAGAGACATGGCCTCCTGGGATCGCTGCGATAGAACAGCAAACACAGCAGCGCCCGCAGATCGATCGGCCACACCGCCCGGCCAGCAGGCGGGGTGTCTCGGTCCTTTAACGCCGCAGGCAGCCATCTCCACAAGCTCACACTCACGCACTCGCTCTGCTCTATTTGTTTAACCCGCCCGGAAGGGGAATACCTTCTTCGTCGGTGGAGCTTTCGGAGTTGATGCACCTGCTCAGGTAGGGGGCGTCCGAGGCCGCCGCCGGGCCGCCCCGCTCAGGGGCCCGCGCCTCCGCCCCGCAGTGCCCCAGCTCTTTGGTCGGCGTCTCCTGCAAAGACACGCAGAGCCGTCAGGAGGGGCCTCCCGGGAGCGCAGGTGTCGCGGCCCAGGCCGGTGCGTTTGACCGGCCGGCTGTGACATGCTCCTCCCCAGGAGTGGCTTCTGGTCCCGGGCTGGGGGCAGGAACACGCAGCCCCGGCCCGGTGCATGGAGCAGCTACGTGGGGCCTCTGAGGAGCAGGCAGTAGCAGGCTGGCCGGGAAGAAGCCGGAATTCAGATACCAAACAGCAGCGAACTCACCCCTTCCCCTACCCCGAACCGCAGCCCTGGCCTGGCCTCCCAGCCTGTCCTGTGCGTGTGCCGCGCTGGCCGGACCGGACCGGGAGCGGCGTCCCCGACGGCTCCACCCAGGGCTCAGCGTGCTGTTCAGGCAGATCTGCCGGGCGCACTTGGAAGCAGCGAGAGCTCAGAAAGCACTCGACGGGCGGGCGGCCTCTCTGAGGGCCTCTGGGGTGTCCGGTCCTCTCGGGTGTCTTGGGCCTTCCTAGTGTGGCTTTCTGGCCAGGAAGCGGGGGCTCTGGTGTCCCCCCCCCCCCACGCTGCATGCTTCGCAGGGGAGCACAGAGAGAACGAGCACCAGGCTCCTCACTCTCCGGGGCACACAGGCCCTCTGAGGGGAGGACGTTCGCCCCTCATGGCCCCGGAGCCGGGCACCCCTATCGCTGCCACCCGGGGACTGCAGGGCTGGACCGAGAAAGGGAATAAACAGGAACTTCTCCCCCTTCTGGCAGAACACCCCTCCTGCCCCTTCCAGAAGCAGAACCAAGAGCTCGGAGCTCTCTGTTCATCCCAGGGCCTGCTTTGCATTTCAGGGTGCTGAGTTCCAACAGCACAGCAAACACCTTAACGAGAGAACGCCCAACCCACGAAGGCTTAAAACTAACGCGTGTATAAATGATCTAAGGATCACAGGGGAAGCCTTGAGGAAAAGTAGAAAATATTGTGAACGGAATGAAAATACAACATTAAAATTTGTGGGGTGCAGCTAACGTAGTGCATAGAGGGACATTTATAGCATGAAATGCTATTAGAAAGAAAAGGTTTTACATCCTAAGAGTCTTCCTTAAGAGTCCAGGAAAGGAAAAGCAAAATAAATCTAAAGCAACTGAAGAAAATAATGACACAGCAGAAATCAATAAAGCTGAAAAGAAAATAATGAAGAAAAAACACTCCATGAAATCAAAAGCAGTTCTTCAAAAAGATCAATAAGTCTACACTATCTCTTTCAGAGAGAGAAATGCAGCCGGCTTCTCTACGAGGCCAGCGGCGTCCCCGCGGGTGCGGGACTGAAAGCAAACAGAACGGCCTGCAGGCTCTGAAGGACCACGGGGAAGACAGCGCAGGCGGCGGTCCCCTCAGTGCAGACGGCACTCCTCCTCCAGCTGCGCCTTAGGCCTCATGCCATTCCCATCAGAATCCAAGCTGGCTTTCTGTTTGCAGCTACAGACAAGTTGTTCTAAAACCTCTACAGCAAATTACAGGAACTGCAGAAGCCAAAGTAATTTTAAAAAGGAAGAAAAGTGATAGAGGAATCGTCCCCCTGATTTTAAGATTTAATCACAGGAGTGAGGTCCTGGCAAAGAGGCGAAACAGAACAAGTTCAGAAACAGACCTAGAGAGATATGGTCATTTAATTTCTGACAAAAGTGCAAAGGCTGTTCAATGGACAGGGATCAGTCTTCTCAACACACATCCAAACATACAACAACAAACCCAAACTCAACCTAACACAGAAATCAACTCAAATGTATAACAGATGTAAACATAAAACTTAGGAGAAAAGATTCAGGATCTAGGGGTTGGTGAAGGGTACTTAGGCATAACAAAAGTATGAGCCTGGACAGTGTGGCTCAGTGGTTGAGCACTGACCTAGGAACCAGGAGATCACAGTTCGATTCCTGGTCAGGACACTTGCCCAGTTTGCAGGCTCAATCCCCAGTAGGGGGCGTGCAGGAGGCAGCCGATGGATGAATTCTCTCTTCATTGATGTTTCTATCTCTTTCTCCCTCTCGCTTCCTCTCTCTGAAATCAGCAAAAACATCTTTTAAAAAATTACGATCTACTGCCCAATTTCCCCAACACCACTTGTTGAATAGGTTATCTTTATACCCATTATAAGCTTTTGCCATCTTTGTCAAATACTAATCAAAGATGAAGGCATTGGCTTATTTCTAGACTCTCTGCTCTGTTCCAATGATCATGTCTATCTTTATGGCAGTGCCATGATATCTCTAGCCCTATTGCCTTGTCGTATGATTCCTCCAACTATGGGATATCAGGTAGTATGATTCCTCCAACTATGGTCTTCTTTCTCAAGATTGCTGTGGCTATGTGGGTCCATATAAATTTTTGGAATATTTGTCCTATTCTGTGAAATACACCTTTGATATCTTGATAGGAAAAAAAAAAAAAAAATATATATATATATATATAAAACGATCTATAAAAAAAGTGATACATGGAAGTCTTCCAAAATTTAAAACTTTTGCTCTGTGAAAGACAACCTACAGACTGGGAGAAATATTTCTAAACCATGGATCTGACAAAGGACTCATATCTAGAATTTATTAAAAATCCAAACAAAACTCAAGACACAGAGAATCCAGGTAAGAAAATGGGCAAAAGAGGGGACCCATCACTGAAAGGACGCAGACGGCAAACGAGAGCCTGGAGGAAAGGAGCAACGAGAGCCGTGCGGCCGCCCTGGCCAGCCGCCGGGACCCGGAGTTCAGATCACGGCTGAGGCTGCTAGCTAACGGGAAAGACAGTGCCACCACCAAACACTGCAGAGACAGAGAGAGCCTGAACCTCTCCACTCTGTCTCTGTGGAAAAGGTTCTTTTCTTTAAACAACTGAACATACGCTTACGTACAACCTAGCACCCAAACGCCCTCTCACCCATCCGTGTCCACCAAAACCTGCACACAATTATGCAAAGTGGGAAAGCCCAGCTGTCCGCCAGCAGGTGGATGCTGATGCCCCGGGCACACCCACCCACGGAGCACAGTCAGCCCTGCGCTGGGGTGGATCTGAGGAATCGCGCGCTAGAGAAAAGGCAGCCTCAGAGGCACCGAGCTGAGAGGGAGGCCGCAGGCTCATCCCAAGGACTCCCACCAGGGCGGGCTGTGCTTTAAGGAGACAAGGGCCACGAACCCCCACGCCTTCTGGGACACAAAGGGTCCCATTCAGCTGTGTCTGTGGCTGAGCTTCCCTCACAGTCTAGCTGATTCAAGAAGCAAATGCAAGGATGACACAGACTAGTCAACAGAGGATATCTTTTTTAAAGTCTGAATTAGAGGCTGGTTCATTTTTAAAGAAGGAAAAGCCTGAGCCCATCCGTGTGGTGCACAGCGGGCACCTGCTCCACAGTGGGATGGAGGGCAGGAGAAGGGAGGAGGGCAGGAGAGTGGGAAGAGCAGAGGGGGTGGAAGCAGAGGGGGGGGGAGGCCAGAGGTGAGAGGAGGGCAGAAGGGAAGTAGAGGGCAGGAGGGGGGTGGAGAGCAGAGGGGGGAGAAGGGGAGGCGGGCAGGAAAGGGGTGGAGGGTAGGAGCGAGGCGGAGGAAAGCAGAGCCACAGACCCTGTTGCTGCCCCACGGGCACTGACACGGAGCACTGCCTGCGTCTCCAGGGCTAATCTGAGCCTGCCTGCCCTACTGCCCTGCGTGCGTGCGGGCCTCACTGCCATGTCAGACATGACGATGCCTGCGAAGGTGACCACTTCAGCAGACCTCGCCGGGAGCCCGGGAAGAGCAGAGTCCTCCTTAGCAAACGGAGCTCCCTGCACAAACTGCACTTCTGCAGATCCTTGGGACGGTAACAGCAATCAACCGCAGCCTCGGAATGAAAAGAGGGAAACACACACTCAATGTCCTCCCCTGTGGAACCTCCAGCGCGCCGGCGGGAAGAACAGATACCTGGTCAAACAGATAGACGGTGACGTCGTGGAAAAAGGTCACCGCCTTCTTCTCCCTCGGGCCGCCCTCGGGCCGCGGGCCCCCCGGCAGCGGGGCGGCCGCCGGGGCCTTCAGCAGGCTCCGCAGGTGCCGCCCGTCGTCGTTGCTGAGGACCACGGGCACCGGGTGCTCCACCTCGTCCTCCGACTCGGAGCTGAGGCTGTGCAGGGTGAAGGCCCGCAGGTCCTCATCCGAGTCGTCGCTGTTCTCGTCCTCCTCGTCCGCGTCCATCCCGTCCTCGGAGAGGTCCAGCAGGCCCGCCGCGCCCAGCTTCCCCAGGTACTTGCCCTCCACGTCCGGCTCCTTCAGCTTGGGGCCCTCGTGGCCGGGGAGGGGCTGGTCCGCCGGGCCGGCCGGGCTGCCGGGGCGGAGGGCGCTGGCGAACGCCAGGAGCTCGTTGGTGTTGGTCCCGGCGGAGGCGATGGTGCAGGGGGGCTCTTCCTGGGCCTCGGAGTCGTCGCCGCTGCTCAGCTCCGAGTTTAACGCGCTCGAGGGGCTGCCAGCCTCGTCTGGGGGCGCAGGCAGCTCCTCGGAAACGTCCGTCAGTGCCGGCTGCGCCGTTTCTCCCGATTCCGGGAGGCGGGAGTCCTGGAAAGCTGAGGGACAGCTGTGGTCTGGCAGGCTGCTTTTGGTCTCCAGGCCCCTGTCCGTGGTGCCAGGACTTGGCTCTGGAATGACTGGCTCAGGCGGAGGCCGATCCGTTACCAAGGCCACGGCTGACACCGAGGTTCCCTGGACCCCCTCCGACTTCTTGTCAGGCTCGGAGTCGTTGTCTGAGAAGTAGGCAGAGTCTCGGTAGGAGCTCTGAGAGCCAGCGGCAGAGGCGTGTGCGGTCCCGTCGGCACTCGGGTGGCCATCGGCGGCATCTGAGATGACGATGACAGGGGTGGGAGGCAGCTCGCCACGACCGCCGTCGCCTGCTGTGGCCGCGTCTGAGGCCGAGGCACCGTCGGGAGCAGCGTGCAGCGTCCATTCGGGCGACTCCAAGTTCTCTGTCTCGTACCCGCTGTCCGCAGGCTTGTCAGGGGGCAAGAGTGTCTCCTGCCCTGCTCCTAACGACCCCAACAGAGCCTCGTGGACGTCCACGGAGTCCAGGGAATCGGGGGTCTCCGCCGACTGCTCTGAAGTGGGGATGGGTGTGGACAAGCTGTCTTCCAGAAGGCTGTCCTGGCTGGTCGAGTCGGAGGACAGGGCCAGGCCGCCCTCGTTGGCGGCATCTTTACAGCTGAGCTGGTGCGGAGCGCCCCCGGCTGCCGGGCTGCCCTCCAGCGGCCCGTTCCTGGGAGGGTCTCCTGAAGGCGGCTCGTTTTGCAGGTTCTGTCTCAGTTCCGGAAGGCTGCTCTCTCTGCTCACTTTCCTGGCAACAACGTCACCCACAAGAGCGGGGTCACTCTGGGTCCGTCCGGAGGCCTCTTCCCTCGGCGGAGTCAGCGTGAGGGACCCAGGGCCCGTGCCGTCTGTGCCAGCATTGGTGGAGGGAATGCCAACTGGGACAGCCACCGAATCTACCTCTGCTTCTTGGCCAAGACAGTCGTCATGGACACCGACATCTAAACGCCTGGGCGTGGTTTCCTCCTGCTTCGGGAACGTGCCTGTCAGTGTGCTGGGAGGTGTTCCTTCCGGTCCGAGGGAGGTAGGAGGTACCTGCTCTTCCGGGGAAGACGGTACGGAGGTGCTCAGAGCGCGGTCCTGGAGCACAGCCCGCGTATCCGGACCCTTTACGCTGACGTTTTCCTGCAGCGAAGAGTAGCCTGGATTGTTTTCAGCAAACGTAAACTCAGCATCTAAAGTGTTCCTACGTGGAGTTTCTAACATGGTTTCCGTAAAGCCAGCGTTTTTAAGTTCTGTTTGAAGGTCATTTATATGTTCTTTGCTACACAATGAGTCTCTTAGTAAGTTTTTCTCTTGAAGAAATAGAAAGTTTTCTGACAATTCTTGCACATTCAGTGGATCAAAATGATCTTGGCGCGCAAGGTCATAACGCTTGTGGGGCTCCTCTTTCTCGAGGCGGCCTGTTATCCCTGCGTCTTTGGGCTCATCCACACTTGAACTTGGCGTGGCCGGCTTAAAGTCAGCCTGAACTCCATTCAGTTCCATCAGGTCGAATAGTTTTTGGTGGCTGGGCAGGTCCTCCGACTTGTCCAGATCATTAAATATACTGTCAAAAGGGCTCTCGGGGCCCCTGGCGGCACGCACGTCCTCAGGGGGGCTGGGGTCTGTGGGGTCTGCGCTGCTCTGGAAGAAATCCTCATCGGTACTGGACTCCTCACACTCCAGGCCCCTGAGCGTCAGAAACTGGGGCGCCTCGTCACGCGTCCTCTCGGGGTTCTCCAGCTCAGTGGTGAGCAGTGCAGGGGGGTAATCGAGCTCCAAGTTGCCACCACTCTTTTCTTCTAACTGGATGTAATAGTCGCTTCCCACAGACAGGTTGTGGGCATCAAACACGGGAACCACGCCTGGGGCTCGCACAGGGACCTCCTGACCACTGCTGTCTTGCTTCCCGGGCCCGGGGTCGGAGAGGGAACTCTCAAACACCTCCACGGGGAAGAAGATGCTCGTGTAAGACAAGGCCTCGTCCGGGGGGCCCCGGCTGCGCTCATCGAAGTGGTCCTGCTTCGCCGCCTCCCAGACGTACTCGAAGCTCAGGCCCTGGCTGGTTTCCGTCACGGTGAGGACCTCCTCCATCTCCCGGCCAAGCCGGTCCCGGGAGAAGTGGTCGAGGATGGGGAAGGCGGCGCTGTTGGACGTGTCCCTGGTGTGCGTGTTCGGTTTCAGAGCGTTCCACTGTTGTTCGAAGTCCACCTCCGAGTCCCGCTGGCTTTGCATGCGCAGGTAGGTGAGCAGCCTGTGCACGTCCTCGGCTGCCGGTCTCTTGTCTGGTGGCAGCCAACAGAACTGTAAAACTTCATACCTGAGGGACACACGGCAGGGCGTTAATGGACTGACAACCAACGGCCTCACTCCTTTACGGGTAATAAAGAACATTATAACCTGATGAGCAGAAAGATGGATACAGAGGCAGAGAAGCATGGAACAGACTGTCAAATTACAGCGGGAAGGCTGGGGGCGGGGGGGGAGGTAAGAGATCCACTGAAGGACTTGTATGCATGTATATAAGCATAACCAATGGACGCAAGACACTGTGGAGGTGGGGTGAGGGCACGTGCCGGGAGGATAGGGGAGACCGGGGGAAGCGGAGGCATTATGTATTTGTAATACTTTAAACAAAAAAACAATAATAAAGTTTAAAAAATACAAATGAAAAAAAGAATTGACACCCCCCCCCGCCAAAAAAAAGCATAATACGCAAATTGACTGAAGAGCAGAACAACCAGTCAGCGGGGGCAGGGCTGGCGAGCAGGTGGCCCCAAGGTATGTGCCAGCAGGCAGAGGAAAGGACCAGCGATGGCTGGGGGGGGGGGGGGGGGGGGCGCGCAGCACCATTCCCTGATCAGCCAGCCTGGTCGCCTCCCACAGAGGGAGGCCGGGTGGCAGCGGCAGGGTGATGGGGCGGTGCTGATCCTGATCAGCCAGCCTGGTCGCCTCCTGCAGAGGGAGGCCAGGCCAGACTGCAGCTCAGGCCCATGGGGAGCGGCCTAAGCCTTCAGTAGGACATCCCCTGAGGACTCCTGGACTGCGAGAGGTGCAGGCCAGGCTGAGGGACCTCCCCACCCCAGTGCAAGAATTTTATGCACCAGGCCTCTAGTTTCTAGAAAAAGAAGACTTTACAAGAGCCCCTAAGCCAAATCAACATCCCAGAAGTTTCTATACTTGAATCACTGCTGGCCACCTGAAGGCGTTCAGATCCTGGTGAGACCATGGTGAGAGAGGAAATGCAGAAATAACACATCTGACCACTAATTTCTGTGTTCTCAGGACATTCCACAGGATCACTGCAATTCTGTTGCCTTGTCATTTGTTCCTCTGGTGTTTAACCAAGGACTTGTTACTGAATTCAGAAAGAATAGTTTTAACATGCTGTCCTCAAAAACAATTGCCACGGGTATTCTGAGTGGAAAGAATGCACTTGCCTTGAGTTTGTAGATTTACTCACTTTACTTTGCAAAAACTCACACAGACAAATGCTGCTGTAACTAATCTCACTACTCCCTGACGAACAGAAACACTATAATCTTCGGCAGCACGCGGTTTCCTTAGACCATAAACGGAGCTGAAAGTGGAGGGAAAAGAGAGAAGAAGCCCAAGAAGGCAGCACCAGGAGCTGGACTTCCAGGGCTGGCTCAATACCGCGGGCGGTAACCATGAGCAGAGACAGCGTCACATATTAAACTTACAGCGTATATGCCCAGTTATTCTGAGGCAATGACTCTAGCAACCTGGAACTGAGCACTGCCTACAGGCAGGGCACCAAGCTTTGGGGCAATGCAGGGGTTTAGATAGAGGCCTAAAGAGAAGTGAACCAGATCCTAATTGGAAATGGAGTGAGAACTGGTTCAAAGACTCTTAAGAAATAAGTTTGTTTTGCAAATATGAACAAATGTTATGTTATGCAAATTAGTTTCAACTGCCAATTTAAGTATTATCACTTTTATGCTATCTTTTTTCTCACATATTAGATATCACTTATATAGCCAGCCTCATTTGAAAACAATTCTGCAATCGATTCCAGTCAGGTGAAAACAATTCTGCAATAGCAAACTCTCCAACTGTTGACTTTTAAAATAAATCTAACTTCACATTTTTTATTGCACATAATACAAAAATCCCTGCTTGTTCCATACATTTTTCAAAAACAATGTTGAGTTATAAAAATACAGAATTATTTTTAAAAGTCATGAAAAAACATAACATTTATTGTATAAAACAGAAACAGAAGTCACCAACCATCTGTCGGAATAAGGCTGCTCCAGCTGGGGCTTGGGGAGTTTTGTGTCTCTCTCTCGAATGACCCGGTTAAGAACGTCTAAGTTGGACAGGTTGCAATACGGCTGAGCAGCATTATCAAAAAGTTCCCAAAGTGTCACACCAAGGGACCTGAGGGAAAAATAAAGTGATTATTTCTTTCTCCCTGCAGACGTTGAATTTTTAGCATCTACAGAGTTTGTGCAGTCACTAGGAACTCTAAAGACAAGGTGTGTACTGAAAGGTAGTAAAGACAGCTCTCTAACATGATCTGAAAGAGACATTCTCATTAAACCCAGGACCACGGCAAGCAGGCCTCCTCTTAGCTACTGGTGGACATGACTCTGGTAGTTCTGGCCAATGCAAAAACAATGTGAAACAGACACAATAGGCACAATTATAGGGAGGAGCTAATCTGACTCTCATCTTCAAAAGTCAAGAAATTATTTGAGAGAGAAACCAAGATGGCAGCATAGGTAAACACCTGAACATGCTGCCTCGCACAACCACTTCAAAACTACAACTAAAAGACAAACGGACATCATCCAGAACCACAGGAAGGCTGGCTGAGTGGAAATTCTACAACTAGAAGGAAAGAGAAAAGCACACTGAGACTCAGAAGAGGTACGGGAGTAAAGTGCAGAGTTAGAGGTGTGTGTATGTGGAGAGGACTGGCAACTGAGTACGCGGCTGCCTTTCTCAATCTGGAGGGAGACACAAGCTCCTGACTGTTCTGAACTCCAATTCTGGGCAAGACTCTGGGGACCCAGACTTATACGGGGAGAAACTGGACTGTCTGGCATCGGGCGGAACCTCTCTCAGAGGTGCTTGCAGCAATTACCGAGGGACACTGAGACCCAGGGGCAGGGCTGATGGGAAGCCATTACTATTGGCTCTGCCCTGAGACCCTACCCCAGCCAAATTGTGCGCAGAGACTTCTGCATATGAATGGCCTAGTCCTTTGAAATCTAAAATTACCTAACAAACTGCAGCTAGCTCAGAGAGACCCAGAACATCCAAAAGAAGGCCCAAGGCCCCACAGCAGCTTGCATTACTTCACAGCTGGCCTCATCTGGGCACCTCCAAAACCCAAAGAAGAGGAATTTGCAGATCTCTACGTAGCTCTTGCTGGGTGGCCTCAGGCAGAGGCTATATCAGCACCTCCTTGGAGACCCAAGATGGCTAACATGTACCCAGAGCATGTGTGTTATCTGGGCAGCTTTCAGAAACACCTTGATATTTAAGATCCCTGAGCTCTCGTGTGCCGCCACCCCCCCCCCCCCGCCCTTCCCCCCAAATCTTTGCTGGCAGATGCCAGCCAGTGTGGCCTAGTTTTTCTGAAAAGTTCCCAACTAATTCTGATATCCAGCGAGGTTTGGATAATGATGGTTTACATGACTGTGATCAATACCCACCAGAAGGCTATCTGAATAAGCTGTATGGAATAAATGTATTATCTGACATTGTATAGTACAATATAACATGAATTAAATTCTCTGATGCTAATTTCACAAATCAGTGAAAACAATCAGCATGTTCAGTATCTAAGCTGAGAGACCATTTCTATCAGAGGAAATAAAAGGACCCACATTTTTCGATCCAGTTCAAGAAGTAAGAGTACTTAGCCTTTCTGTGTTTTCATTCACTTCAATAAATATTTATTACATTTGTATTATATGCCAGGCCCTGTGGTAGGCACAGAAAATGGACTCGCATCCCGCTTTTATGGAGCTTATTATTGTCGAATGGTAAGAGAGGCAGTATTCAAAAAGCTAATTATGTCACTGCAGTGTGACTGCTGCCGTATCAATGCACACATTGTCTTTCCCACCACCGGGCGCTCTGGAGTAATATCTCGTTCAGTTACTTCCTTTAAGAAAGTGCTCCAGGAGACAGAGCGAGGACTGTGCTACACAAAAGCCTCGTAGAAGGGTAGAGCAATACATACCAAATGTTGCTGTACTTGGTTTGGTCTGCAGTTAGCAGTCTGTCTTGAAAGCTGGTTACTAACTCTGGAGCAGTCCATCGCAGAGGGAAAACTTTTTTATCATCTGCTTCAATATAATCCTCCTGTTTTGTTAGAAAGCACACAGAATTTTGAATTCTCTCATACTTTTAATGAGCTCAGTAATTTCATTCCAGATCATTCTCAGAAAACAATACTTAACCCAAAAGCAAGTGGGCATAGAGACTTTCTGGGCGGAGGCAAGTGAGGGCTTCATGAGCGGGTCTCAGCACAAACCCTCGCTCCGTCGCCTTCCTGGAAAGGAAGGGACGTGTCTGTGATGCCCAGAACCAGAGGTGGGCTCTATGCCCGAACAGGGGAGTGTGCCAGTTGGTAGGGCGCAGGCTTCAAAAGGGACAGGCCGGGCTGCAAGTCCACGTTCACCCTTTCACCAGCTCGGTGACTCCAGGCAGGAAACACATGCCAGCCTCTTCCCTTCCCCATGAAGGGAGGGGACGCCCTCCCTCTCTTCATGGGGAGGATGAATGGATGGCGCAGGCAGCACGTCAGAGTGCCCGGTACTCACGGTAAGTGCTCAAGACACTAGAGCTACCACAGCACCAAATGGCCAACTTGTATTTGCAAAGTATTTTTGTTTAAAAAGTCCTGAGAGCCACACGAAGCCCATAACACAGCGCACGTTTATCCGCTGCCGCTGCTTGGAAAGGGAGGCCGGTGGCTGGGCCAAGGTCTCCTGGCGGCGCGGGGCGGACAGCTGCCTTCTCTGCCCACACAGAGCCACCTCCTTCCCTTCGGCTGGGCCACACACACACACACACACAAAACCTCATCCACTTCTGCCCCTCTTTGGGGATACATTTATGACAGCTTCAAAACCTAAACCCCAAGCTTACTGAATTCGATCCAAAATGTTACTGAACACAGAAGGGAGAAATAGTTATGTGAGATGTGTATTTTATTACACCCATGGCAATAACTATATTGCCCAAGTGCATACTAACATTTATTATACAGCAGCAAACTGTATCAATTGCACCCAGGGCACGGCTTTTTAAACAAAGCAGCAGGGACGCTGAGAGCCAACCTCCGGTACAAAGTCACTGGGTTAGAAAAGCCACCGTCAGATGCCAACACTCTCACTTAAATGGCTGAGCCACCCTCTCTCCAGAGGGCAACCTGAACAAGATCCTTACCCCCTCTCAGAAAAAGAGCGGCATTCTATGCTATCACCACCCTGTGACCATGAAACATTAAACCAGATTAACAACGAAGGCGAGACCCTGCGAACTCTGGCTTACCTTGTACCTGCTAAATCCTATGCCGTAGTCTCCCACTTTCACATTGAGGTCCGAGGTGAGAAAACAATTCCGAAGGGCCAAGTCGCTGAAAACAGAGAGAGAAAGTAAACTCAAGAACAAGGAAAAGCCGTGACCAGAAAGCGTGACAGGACATGGCTATGGAAAAAGGCTTTCTATGGGAATCAGAGCAGTATTTTGAGCTCCCTACTTAATAATTTATATTTTAAAATTTTTTATAGAAAATGGATTACATATCTTATTTAGTGACTTAAATAGTGGAGATGATCAGATATTTTTGCAACTAGCTGTGACGGCTAAAGTCAAATACTGAGCACAACGGTACCTTGTGCTGCATTAACACCAGGTGTGTGGGTCCTTTCCTAGTCAAGGAGTGGTCAAGAAAGAACTCTAAATTACTACTGTCTAAATTGTCCGAATATTTTTTACAATAACCTGTATTTCTTGAGTAATAGTCTAGTAAAGATTAATAAAGTTATAGCTTCAAGCCTCCCCGCCCCCGCTTACATGATTAAAACTGTTCGTTTTAACCTCCTTTCCAATGATATGCAGGCATTACAAGGAGGCCTTTTTCACATTACTCTCATCTCCAAACTCCTCCTCTCCACCAGGGAGCTAAAGAGTACATTTGCAAGAGTTACTTAAAACAATTTATATCATTTACTTAAGAACAAACTGATTTTCAAAAGCACATAATTTAAAAAAGAAATTCTTTTCTTAAAGGAACTTCCTATAAAAACAACAGATTAAATTTCTTTTAAAAAGTATATTTCTTTATTGATTTCAGAGAGAAAGGGAGAGGGAGAGAGAGAGAGAAACATCAATGATGAGAGAGAATCATCAATCAGATGCCTCCTGCATACCTCCCACTGGGGATCAGGTCACAATTCAGGCATGTGCCCTTGGCTGGAATCAAACCTGAGACCCCTCAGTCCACAGGCCGACGCTCTATCCACTAGCCAAGCTGGCCAGGGCTTAAATTTATTTTATTTTGGCTTTAGTCCTTGGAATTTTTTTTTTTAAATCATCAACTGGCATACACATAAAAAAAGCCACTAAATTAAAAATGAATTTATAGTTTTAAATCATGAATAAAAGTTATCAAAAACTGAAAATCTACAGCCCAAAAATTTTTTAAAAAATATATTTTATTGATTTTGTACAGAGAGGAAGGGAGAGATATAGAGAGCCAGAAACATCGATGAGAGAGAGTCATCAATCAGCTGCCTCTTGCACACCCCCTACGGGGGATATGTCCGCAACCAAGGTACATGCCCTTGACCAGAATCGAACCTGGGTCCCTTCAGTCCCCAAGCCGACGCTCTATCCATTGAGCCAAACCGGTCTCGGCTACAGCCCAAAATTTTAAATGTTAGTCTTTATATGATAGAAGACCAAACACTTTAACTCTTAAATTCTTACTTTCAAAGATTTTAATTTCCAAAGCTCACATCTGAAATATAATGAGAATGACAACAGCAATAACTAACTGCTATAATTCAATGGCAACTTGCTTTATAACAGATGCAATTCATGCTGATGGCTAATGTTTACAAAGCACTTACTTCGCACCACTCGGTTCTCTAAGCACGTTACGGGTGCCGCTAGCTCATTTGATCTTCACGTCAAAGCCTCTGAGGCGGACACTGTATTTTCCCCACTGACAGACGGCAAACCCGAGCACAGAGGAGTGAGAGCCTTTGCTGGGGCCCAAAGCTGACAGGACAACGCATCTCACCTTCTCAGCGTCAGTCACTCCCCACGGCACTGCGCTAACAGCCAGAGCACTGCGCCGTGCGGATGGCCGGTTCTTAGTAAACATGTGATGATCTGAATTTCCAACTCATCTCCCAGATAACTAAGGTACACGAAATTCCTCTCTACACACGCTCTGTTTACACACGGTAAATGATTTTCGGCATTCCATCCAGAAGCCTTCAGACCTGTGGATGTACGTGACTGGGAAAAACCAGGGCCCCTCGCCACCACCCCCAACTCCATTGCTACAAACAAGAGAAACTTCCAATCTGAGAACAGAATCGGCCCCTGTTTTGGACAGAGGGGAAGGGACGGAGGGGAGAAGTATGCCATGTGAGGGCAGGAACAGGAGGGCGCTTTACAGGCAGCTGCGCCCACTGCGCTGGAAGCCGCCACTGGACAGCGCGCAGGTCTGCCAACAGAGTCCTGCTGCTGAGACCTCTGGTGAGCGTCTCCGGGTTTCCATAAACAGACCCTTCTCAGCCTCCCCATACCGCCCTCCGAGACCAGAGGTAAAAGCTGGGCGCCAGACAGGGGCGTGTGTGCCCTCTCAGCCTGGGCCTGCAGCCCCTTCGGAGCTTCGGACACTTTCTGCTCAGGCCATTCAAGCCATTCATTCCTGGACTGCCCGCTTCCTCCCTCCTCTCCTTACGCGTCACTGCAGGCCTTCAGATTTCCAGTGTGAAGGTCAACTGAAAGAGGGAACATGATGTGCAAAAGGCATGTGCACACTGTAAATGGCACTGCAACCTCTAATCCAGTTCAACTGGCAGTCTCAGGGGGAGAGGGACGCCGCCCCGAACAGAGCCAGGGCTCAGGGGGAGAAGACAGTGATCTGACGGGGAATTTCTGCTAACCTGCTCTCCCCCTCCGCTCCCAGCACCCAGTGCCCGCTGCCAGACCTGGGCACTAGTCTCCGCTCCACGCTGGGAACTGGGAACTCTGGGCAAGTCACTCACACATCAGAGCCTCGGCGCCCTCCCAAACAACAGGCTGAACTGCTGGGCTGGTCATCCTAAGGATAAAACCACACACACAGGAACTGGGAAGTGCTACCAGACTGCAGATGACAATGAGATAATCTGGTTCAGAAACTGGTAAAAAGTAAACCCTCTCTGAAGCCCAGAGCCCACGGTGAGAGAAACCCAAGGTACAGCTTCTCTACAGCAGCGTGAACTCCTGACGTCAATGCCGCTCTGGCAGGAAGCACAAACACAGCGGGTATTCTTCCTCCGAGCTGAAAAACAGGTCCCGTGGGGAGGCTGTCAGCCAGCCAGCCAGCTCCGAAGGCTCCTTCGAGGCTCTGGCTCACTCGCTCCCCTTGGCAGCGCCCCCTGACAGTGACTGCACACGCCTCACCGCCCGAGAGAGGGGGCTGACAGACACAGAACTGGAGTCCCCACCCTACTGGTCCTCAACTCCCATCGGATCTGGAGTTTACCCACCTGCAGAGGACGGCTCTCACGAACAGCTCAGTGCCACTGCCGCCGTTTTCCAGAACCAACCACACCCCACTTACTCCGTGCTTTCCTGAGTAATCTGAATTCCTGGTAGCAAATGGCAAGCAAAATGACCGAAAGTTCCTGAAAGTCACGAATGTCCTGTGCTCGACTGCAAACACGCACACGGCTGACGCCAGGCCTGGCTCTCTCCTTAAAGGACGGCAAGAGGGACGTTTACTGGGTGCTTCCCACTGCAGCCCACAGCTCCAGATGGACATGAAGAATTCTATTTTCAGCCAGTACAGAAACCTGGCCCCGAGTCAGCCAGTAAATGTTCCGAATTCCACCTTTAAAAATCTCTACCACCCTGGCCGGTTTGATTCTCATTCAGGGCACATGCCAGGGTGTGGGCATGATCCCCAGTAGAGGGCAGGGCGTGCAGGGGGCAGCTGATCCATGTTTCTCTATCTCCCTCCCTCTCCCTCCCTCCTCCTCTCTCAAATCAATACAATCTATAAAAAATTGACATTCTATAAATACATCCCAGTCTAACCTTCATTTTGAAAAAAAATGTTTTATTGTTTTTTAGAGAGAAGAAGGGAGAGGGAGAGATAGAAACATCAATGAGAGAGAAGAACATCATCGAATGGCTGCCTCCTGCATGTCCCCTCTTGGGGATTGAGCCCAAAACCCAGGCATGTGTCCTGACAGGGAATCGAACCTGTGACCTCTTGGTTCCTGGGTTGACATTCAACCACTGAGCCACACCAGCCGAGCCAACCTGCCTTTTAAAAAACATAATGTTTCATAGACAATCCTTCACATCAATACATGGGTGTCCTTTTTTAGGTCTTTAGATTATTAAGAGTTAAATGTTTTAATTAAATTCAACTAGAGACACTGCCTGGTTTCCCAGGAGACCCAAGAAATAATTTTAAACATAAATCAGAGCTCAAAGGCTAGAGCATAAGCAGAACTCTCCCTTTGGGTTCACAGAACCACCAGATCAGGTGGGACTCAAACCCTTGGTTGTTTTAATGACAAATTTAGATCAATGATCTGAACAGACGTGTTCCCGGGAGCTGCAGTGGTGGGAGTAGGGTTTACCCACCGCTGGCTGCTCACACAACCCCCGACTCCTGCACCCACAGCAGGCCTCTCAGAGGCTGGCCAGAAAGCAATGCTCAGCCGTGACGTGAAAGGAGGATGGGAGTCCAGCAGGCCTCCCAGCCCCCCCAGGGAAGTGACGTGGGACACACCGTGAGACCGAGCAGGTGGAACCAGAACCCAAGGTGACATGACAAGGGCGGGAGAGGCCGGGGGGAGACACGGAATGTTTCTTCTCCTGCAGAGCAATGGATAACTCTGTGCAGTCTGTGACATTTGGGGATAACTTCTAGAGCGTAGGCTCATGACGACGTTGTGTCCTCTGGTACTGACCTAAACGAAGCCCAACTTATTTGAACTCTGGGAAGCACGGGGCAGCTTCTACGATTTAAACCAGAGTGGGCTCTGCAGCCTGTCTCGTGGAGATTTTCACAGGCCCCGTGACCACCTGCCCGGCCTCCCCCCAAAAGACCCACCTGTGCAGGAGGTGCAGCTTGTGCATGGCCGCCAGCCCCGCGGCGATCTCGCACGCCATCCGCTGCAGCAGCATGGTCTGCGCGTCCCCCCGAACGTGCTCCTGCTCGCTGCGCAGGTACGCCTTCAGGTCGCCCTGCAAAGACCATGCAGTTTGCTTTCACAAGCAGACAACAAACAGGCAGCTAAACATGTGCTTAATGGACATTAGTTACTAAGGTTATTTATTAGAAATTACTTAGAGTTAGCTTAATAAAGCATCACAGACTGAACCAGTTTCAAATTACAAAATACTTCAACTGCCAGAACCGGTTTGGCTCAGTGGATAGAGCGACGGCCTGTGGACTGAAAGGTCCCAGGTTCGATTCCGGTCAAGGGCATGTAGCTTGGTTGTGGGCACATCCCCAATAGGGCGTGTGCAGGAGGCAGCTGGTTGATGTCTCTCTCTCATCAATGTTTCTAACTCTCTATCCCTCTCCCTTCCTCTCTGTAAAAATCAATAAAATATATTTTAAAAAAATACTTCAACTAAGTATTTCAAAGGAATAGAAAACACCCGTCACCTTTAGGTCATTCCAATTAAAGGCCAGCTTACCTTTGTTCTAGAAACCCCGGAGACAGGACAGTGAGAGAGGGAACTGTGTAGGGTGCACGACTTACAGAAACTGCCAGGGAACAGATGAGGAGAGACTAAGAGGCAGTGCCCCTAGCACTGCCTGTGGGGAGGCTTGGAGACACAGGGTCAGACAGCACCCCATCATGAAGGCTCCTGCCCAGGCACCCATGAACAAGGCGGAAGGACAGAACAATGGGAAGGGGGGTGGAGGGGGAGAGAAGGGCAGTATGTGCAGTACTGGGACCCACTGCCTCAGGTGTCTACCAGCTTCCCCAAGGCCCCGTGTTGTGCAAAGACCACTGTGAGGGAGAACGTCCAGTCCCTCAAGAAAAACTCAGGAAGCTGAGCAGCCTATATGAAGGACAGCAGCACGGGCAGGAAGATGCACAAACTCACACACGGCACGCACTACACGTACAGGCTCCCATGTCACTCCCGGCTTCATTTCATGACTAATTCATTTCAATGCCTGGCTGCGTGCTTTCGGGAATTCACTTAGGAGGAAATAAGTATTCTGCGTTCTCTTTACCATACAATTAAATATTTATTGATGAGATTTAATTCCAAATTAAAGCTTTATTTAATTACACCTTCTCTCCACAACCGGCCACGCCCAGATTTCACTAGAAGACAAACAGAGCCAACAGGAGCTTCTGCTTCTAATGCCAACACTCCTACTGCTTCTGGCGGGGCAAAGCGGGGCAAAAGCGGGGCAAAGCGGGGCGCCTCTCGCTCCGGGGCGAGGAGCTCACATCAGCGATTATAAGGAGCCTGAGCAGTCTCTGTGGGCGAGATTTGTGATGACTGACAGGACCCAGGGGTAGATCTATGGTCTAGAAGGATCCTTAAGAGCTCCCCATTTAAAATAAAAATCGGAATAAAACCTTTAATTATATAATTAAAATGTTCCTTTTATGTAAGTACTAAAAGCTGACCCATTCTATCCAAAGCAAAGCTGTTTTTTGATATCTAGTTTGTCTTATTTATGTTTTAACGATGTTTAGTGAGTATTCGGATTACTGCTTTGGTTTGCTATTAAAAATTCCTGACACTGCCCAAGCTAGTTTGGCTCAGTGCACTCAGTTTGGCTCAGTTCAGCTTGGGGACTGAAGTGTCCCGTGTTCGATTCCATTCAAGGACCATGCCCAGCCTGCAGGCTCGATCCCCAGTGGGGGGGGTGCAGGAGGCAGCCGATCAATAATTCTCTCATCACTGATATTTCTCTCTCTACCTTCTCCCGTCCTCTCTGAAATAAATTTTATATATATATATTTAAAATGCCCAATAATTAAAAACAGCAATGTATTCTAAAAAATAGTTTCCTTTATCCAAGTTTTTAAAATGTCTCTGATCTTCCCCAAAATCCCAAAAAAACTCAAAAAGAAAAATTTATGACACTAGATGGCAGCAGAGTGCTATATGTACAAAGAACTCAGATAACAGAACAAATGGGAATGACTTCTTGAGTCATTCAGTGAATAATCGACCTTTAAATGGATTAAATTCCAACACAAACTGCCAGGAGGGTTTTATCCAGTTTTTGACGGGATACTGAGAACAATTAATTTCTATACAATGCAAACACTAAACAACTAAATGGGTTTATAACTGAAAATTTAGTTATTTATGTTTCATAGAATGATTTGGTGGTGGTGGAGGGAGAGGGAGTTATAATTTTTAAACAAAACTGAGTGAAAGGATGAATGAACAGCCTACATAGCCACATATTGAGCATTGCTGACTCTCAACACAGCTGTAGCCCCAGGGACCCTGTCCCTGTCTGCACAACTATTTTTTTCTCACTACCTCTTGAACTCCCCCCCCCCCCCCCCCCGCTATTCTCCTCCCCCCACCCCAGGCTCCCACCACCCTTATGCACTTCCACACCTGCATCTGTTATTATGCACTAGAGGCCCGGTGCACGGATTCGTGCACCTGTGAGGTCCCTTAGCCTGGCCTGCAGGGATTGGGCTGAAACCAGCAGTCTGACATCCCCCAAGGGGCCCCAGAGTGCAAGAGGGCACTCGGCAAAGTTGCTGTCACCTGGCATTTCCTGCATTGAGCACCTGCCCCCTGGTGGTCAGTGAGCACCATAACTGGCTAGTCGGCCGGCTGCTTAGGCTTTTAAATATAGAGATTAGTCACCTGGTTGCCTTCCCAAGCTCAACCTCTTGGTGAGCCCATCCCTTCTGCCACTCTAATGCTCAAATGCCTTTCAGGTGAATCAACAAAGAACCAAACGCGTCTTCTTGGCCCCCAGTCCTCTCCTGCTGCCATCCCAGTTCCCTCCTCTCTTCCCAGATAACCCTCATAAGCCTGGTCTGTCTGGCTATTCTTCCTCCTGGCCTCCCACTCTCTCTTAATCCTTCACTCCCCAACTCTACCACCTCCCCCCCCCCCCCCCCCAAGCTCAGCTCTATGTGGCTGACCGCCTCTGCCACATGCTGCGCGCTGGTCCAAGTCTCACAGCGTAACCAAGGGATGGCCCATTCCCTTTCCCCACAGCCTCCCGGCTTCTCCCTGTCCCTCTGGCCACTCCTTTCTCGCCCTTTCCTGGACCCTCCCCTCTCACTGCTCTGTAAGTGCTGCCACACCCAGGCCCAGTCCTTGGTCCTCATCACTGTGACACGCATTCCTGGTGATTCTACCCACCCCGTGGCTTGTAATATATCTCTCAAATACGTTTCCTGGCCCCAAACCCCTCCATCTCCTGAGCCCTAGGCCCATTTGTCCAATTGCTGACTTGATACCCTTTCCTGGGACCTAAGAGACACCTCAAACCTCAATGTCCTGTGTGAAACTCCACCAATCTGTTCTTTTTCAGAAGTGGCACCACTTTCCCAGCGGATCAGACCAAAACCTCCCGCCTCCACCCTGAGCAGCCACGGCTTACAATCACACCCAGTCCTGACCGGCACTTTGTCTGCTTGGCTGTCCTTCCCACCGGAAATAAGGCACCCAGGGCTGGGCTCTGTCTGACTCTGTGTCCCCAGAATCTACAACAGCGTGAGTTTGGCAAATACAGCCCTTCCTCTGTAGCCACAGTTTCCTCACCTGTAGATTCAATCAATCACAGATCAAAAATACTTGAAAGTTACATTGTTGCTGATATGTACTACTAGGTGGACCCACAATGATTGCATCTGAACGAAATATGTAGATTTTTTGGTTACCACACAGTATATACTATTTATATAGTATTTGTTACCACACAGTATACACTATTTACATAGCACTTACATTGTAGTAGGTATTCTAAGTAATCTAGAGATGACTTAAAGTACACAAGAGGGCCCCAGCCAGATGGCTGGGGGCAGCGTCATCCCTTATACTAAAACGGCTGTGGGTCCAATTCCCTGTCAAGGCACATACCTAGATTGCAGGTTCAATCCCTGGTATGGGCACATATAGGAGGCAACCTATCAGTGTTTCTCTCTTTCTCTCCCTCCCTCTCTCTCTAAAGTCAATAAACATATCATCAGGTGAGGATTAACAATAAAAAAAGTATACATGGGGATGTGCACGGATTATATGCAAACATGACACCGTTATACATAAGGGTCTTGAGCACCCGTGGATTTTGGTATCTGGGCAGATTCTGGTACCAACTCCGTGGACATCGAGGGACATCACTGTTTAACGTGGATGTCACTGCTTAATGAGTGAGGGCAAAGAAAAACGTCCTGAGAAGTTCTAAAAGATGTTCTCCCAAATTAAAATTGAAACAATAATTTTCCACAAAGCAATCCATCATATTTCAATTTAACAATATAATAATGAATTTAGGAGAAAATCTCTAGTTTCAACATTTTATTGGGCTTAATATTTATTACTTCATTACTCTGCACATTCAAGCTAGCCAAAGAGAGGCAATATGGAAAGTATTTTACTTTAAGTGAAATCTAACTGATTCTGTTTGAAAGTTTTATCTTTGTTAAGTGGGAAATGCAACAGATTTTACTTCAAGGAGTGTGGACTGCTCTGAAACTCAGAGTACACCTGAACCTCAGACTGTACTTGTCCAGACACAAGATGGAGCAGAGCTGCGCAACTGAAATATGTGCCAGCCACGCCTGTGATTTACATGTTCTAGTGGCATCCAATTTCTAAAGAGACAGCCTCCCCATGCGTTCACCTGACACATTAACTCCAGGTGTGCACTGCGGAGCCCCCGCAGTGAGCCCTGGGACATGAGGGCGGACACAGAGCCAGCTACAGAGTCAGCAGCCTCAGCACACCGGGCGAGTGAAGCAGGCGTCAGGAGAGCAGAGTGGACTGGACACAAGCAGTCAAGACAGTGGCCAGCAAAGAGCCAGTGCCACGGGCCCAGGGCAGCAGCCAGGCCTGGGGAAGGGAGAGAGATGAAGACACGAGCCAAGTGTAACCACGCCCTTCTGTCACCTCAACTTGCACTCTGGTCTCCCCAGTGGTGTCACTGCTTTTCATCCAACTGATCTGACCAGCACATGCCGCCTGCTCTCCTCGCCCGCAGCCCAGACTCTGCACCCGCGGAAGCATCTCTGCTCCCCCGCACTGCTGGGCCGGCTCCTGTGCTCCTGATGTCCTTTTGGGCCGAGGAAGTCAATCCGCTCGCTCTTCCACACTCCGATCCACCGCACTTCCTTGGCCACGCCCTCCCCAATGACTCTCGTTCCATTTCTTCTACACACACTCCTCAAATCTTTATCAATGATTATAAGTAACTAAAAATGAAAAAAACACACAACCCTACCTTTTCCTGAGCACATACTATAAGCCCAGCAATTGTCGTTCATAATCTTAGTAATGGTGGGAATAGTCTGTGAGGTAGGCAGCATTCTCCCCACTTCACAGATGTCTAAACTAAGGCTTAAGGAGTTCAGATAACTTTTCTTGGTGATACACAAGTGGCAGAATGAGCAGCTGAAGCAGGCCTGCCTGGCTCTATCGGCAGAAAAGGCGGGGATGTGGGGATGTGGGGATGGGGGGGGGGGGGAGTGACTCATCTGTGTCCCCAGGGCACTGCCCAGCTCTTCGTACTTAACAGGCGCTTGATACGTTTTTGTTGAATGAGTGATCCTTACCCAAAAAGCAATCTCCTTGCCTCCTGCTCACGTGGCGGCACTGTGTACTTCCCATGGCAACTAGTCACAGCCAACGCCCCGCAGTGCGGGCTCCTTCACAAACACCGCACCGCACCGCCAGCATCACACATCAGAGGCTGCGGTCCGGCTGCCAAACTCACTCACAAGTGTTTTCATTTTCTTTCATAAAACCCTAAGATAAAGTGTTTTTGAAAAACAGGCTGGTAATTGTATCTTACAAGGAACTAAGTAAGGGCAAAAATATTCTCTCCTTTCTGCTTAAGAGATGTTATCACTGAGCACGATCAGTGCCCGGTGACGACCGGCAGGCTCCTCCAGGAGCTCCTGACCTACTAAGGCCACAGCAGATAGTGGCTCCTTTCACTGCCCGCGCCGGCTCCCGGCCCCTCCGCTCAGGCAGGCTCTCCGCTCCCCGGGCTGACCCCACCTGACCGCCCTGACACGGAGCCTCCGCACCCGAGCCCAGAGCCCTGTCCCTGCTGCAGGAGAGCTTGTGGAGGCGACTGAGCACAGGACGGCCCGGGAGACAAATGTGACCTCTCACTCGGGGGCCCTGGCCGGATCCTGGATTAAAGGCCTCTCTTTGACATGAGACCAGCCATTCCAAGTTCTGACAGATTTCCCAAGGCAATATGGGAATTTCTTGCCTCCTCCTAGTATAGGTAACACAGAGTATAGCACCTTAAATAATAGTAGGCAATTATCAATGTTTTAAGAATGGTGGTAAGATGCATGAGTGCAGAGTTCAGGGTATCACATACATTTACACCGTGTGCAACTGCCATCACACTATCCAACCAACACGACGTTTTTCACCTTCCCCAGCTGAGACGCCGCACCCATTACATACCACCTCCCCATGCCCTCCGCCCGGCCCGTGGCAGACACCCTTCCACTGTCTGTCTCTGACTCTGACTGCTGTGGACACCTCATCTAGATGGAATCACACAGTACTTGTCTTTTTGTGACTTGGCTTATTTCACTTAGCACCGTGGTCGGCAAACTGCGGCTCGCGAGCCACATGCAACTCTTTGGCCCCTTGAGTGTGGCTCTTCCACAAAATACCACGGCCTGGGCGAGACTATTTTGAAGAAGTGGCCTTAGAAGTTGTTTAAGTTTAAAAAATTTACTCTCAAAAGAAATTTCATCATTGTCCTGTTGATGTCTGGCCCTGTTGACTAATGAGTTTGCTGACCACTGACATAGCACATTAGAATAATATCCCATTGTACGGATATAACCAATTATGTTCATTATTCAACCACTGATGGACGCCTGGGCTGCTTCTACCTCTCGGCTATTGTGAATAACCCTGCTGTGAAATGGGTGCACGGAAATCTCTTTAAGATCCTGCTTTCAATTCTATGTTCCTAGAAGTAAAATTGCTGGATCACATGGTGATTCCATTTTAATTTTTTGAGAAGTAAATACTGTTTTAGAAATTTTACGAGAGGCTCAGTGCACAAAACCAGTGCACAGGTAGGGTCCCTAGCGGCTGTCAGCCAGGGGCACCTCCCTTTTCCCAGGCACCTGCTGCTGCCACCAGCCCTGCCCCCTGGCCTAATTCCCGGCAGAGGGGGCAATTTGCATATTAGGCTTTTATTATATAGGATTGTAGATCAATGTATCACAGATGGTGGACTTAACTGAAATAGCCATTAGCTCTGCCCTGCCTGTGCCAGCTTGGGGGGAGGGGGAGATGGGAGCTCTTTCCAGATGTTCAGCCTTCAAGAGTAACATTCTCCCAATATGGCTGAGGAGAGTCACATAAAATATGTGTTTCAACCATAAAAATCCTAGAAAACACAAGCAGTAAAATCTCAGACATTTCTTGTAGCAGTATTTTTTCTAATACTGTATATCTCCTTGGACAAGGAAAACAAAATAAATAAATAGGACGATATTAAACTAAAAACTTTATGCACAGCAAAGGAAATCATCAACAAAATGTAAGTCAACCCACTGAATGGGAGAACATATTTGCCAATGATATATCTGACAAGGGGTTAACATCCAACATCCATAAAGAACTTATATAACTCAACACCAAAAAAAGAAATAATACAATTAAAAAATGGGCAAAGGACCTGAATAGACACTTCTCCAACAGATATGAAAAGATGCTCAACTTCACTACTCATCACAGAAATGCAAATTAAAACCTGCCAGAATTGCTATCACCAATAAGCAACAAATGATTGCTGGCAATGATGTGGAGAAAAGGGAACCCTCGGGCACTGTTGGTGGGAATGCAGACTGGTGCAGTCACTGTGGAAAACAGCATGAAGTTTCCTCAAAAAATTAGAAATGGGGCTTCGGGGAATATGAAAAGTGGCTGCCTAGGAGACACCAAAGAAACCTAAGACAGTAATTCAAAGGAATGTATGCATCCCTATTTCACTGCACTGTTATTTACAACAGCCAAGATTTGGTAGCAGCCCAAGTGCATATCAGTAGATGAGTGGCCATTAGAAAAAATATCCTTGGGTGAGGATAAAAAAGAGAGAAATATGATTAGATAAGCAATGCATAAGAATAGCTTAGCATAGGGATGGAATACAAAATAACACTAATACTATTATCAAAGGTAATGAATGAATACTTCAGTAAGTTGTTAGTATGGAGGGCAGAGTGAAAGCTGCCCCTCATCCAGGGTTTCTATCTCTCAAACCTTCTGCATGCTTGACCTTGAATTTCTGCTAAAAACTTACCAGGTCACAGAACTCAAACACCAGAAGGTAGGGAATTGCTTCTACACACTGCCCCACACACTGAAGAACATTCGGATGCTGAAGAATGCTGGGGAAAAAGTCACAGTACCGTTCATCAGAGAGCACGTGGGTAAAACTGTTCAAACAGTAATCCACATTTTAACATTCATCATGATTTAAATAGGATAACCGGAAAAGAGCTCATTAACAGATTGATTGTTATATAATAATTAAATCATTCAAAGGTAATCGGGTGAACATTTTCAAAATCTCTAATTTTAGTAATTCTAATTTATAGATGATCATTTTGAGGTAGCACTTTCAAAAAGGCAGGGAAAATATATAAAGTTCATAAGCATTTCAATCCATATACTAAATAACCCAGCTACTCCTAGATTACCTACCTTATAACTATTTCCATAAATTTCTATAGTATATGCAAACTCTTTTTTGGAAAATATTTTGTCCAAAAGAAAGTTTATTTAAAAAAAAGATATTTTAAAATAGCTTTTAAAAAGCTTTTCATTTTGAAGCAATTATGACTTAACAATAAGTTGCAAAAGTAGAATACAGAGCTTCCACCTTTCCTTCCCCCAGTTTCCCCTGGTTACATCTGACAACCGCAGTGCAGTACCGAAACCAGGGCACTGACACAGCGCCCATGTGTGTACATCCGTGTGCTGTCACCTCACACGTAGATTCCCACTGCCACCAAACCACCCCCTCAACAGAATGCAGAAGTGCACGTCACCACACTGACTTTCCCCAAGTTACCCTGGGTCAGCTTAAGCCATCCCACTGCCTTCCCACTTCCCACTTCCCCTCCTCCTAAGCCCTGGCAACAGCTAATCTGTTTTCCATTTCTATAATGTTCTCATTTTGAGAATATTATTTTATATATATATATATGGAATCATACAGTATGTGGACTTTTAAGATGGACCTTTTTCATTTACCTTAATGCCCTCAAGATTATCCAAGTTGTTGCCTGTATCAATAAGCATTTCAATCTACATTACTGAATAGCCCAGCTACTCCTAGGCTATCTACCTCATATACTACTAAAGGCCCAGTGCACGAATTTGTGCATGGGTGGGGTCCCTTGGCCTAGAGAGCGATGGGGAGTGGCGGGGGTCGGGGGGGAGAGGGAGGGAGGGACCTCAGGAGGTTGACCAGCTGGCCTACCCCAGATTGGAGTGGGAGGGACGACTGGGAGCAGGGTCAGCCAGGGGGAGCACCCTCAGGCAGTTGGCCAGCGGCCCCACCCTCTGGTCTAACTCCTAGTCAAACTCCTGGTTGAGGGGACAATTTGCATATTAGCCTTTTATTATATAGGATTCCTTTTTATTGCTAAGTAGTCCCTGGTATGGAGTATCAGTTTGTATAACCACTCACCTACTGTGACACATTTTCATTTTGAGTCTTACATTATGAGACTCTAGATCTGATTTAAATTGTGTATTTTGCAAATAGAAATTTCAAAGTTTAGTTTTTGGGGGCCTTAAAAATATTTTGGTTTTACTCAAAAGCAAACTTACTTGGTAGATAAAATATTCTTAGGTCTAACAATTTAAGTGATATATTTAAAATATTATTCTCTGAATGAAGTTTTGCACTCTGTCCACACAGAGATAAGGAGAGAAGTTTCCTCAGTGAGTTCATTTTTGTTATCCATGACAGGCGCACAAAATGAGGTACAGTGGAATGAGCAGGGCGAGCAGATGTGCCTGTGACATCAATGTCGGTTTCCTTTGAGGTCCCCTGTGTCTGGCTGACAAATCTCAATCTGTCCTTCTCCCTTAGTGTCACAAAATCAATGTGTTGCCAAGAACCTTGACAATCATGCTCTACTTCTCGCTTTTGGAATTACAATGCCGTCCTTTTCCTGATGAGGAACTCTCATGTTCTATAGCTCCCTTTAGAGTTGTTGTTTTTTTAATTTAAGTATAGTTGGTATACCGTATTAGTTTCAGGTGTACAATATAATGATTCAACATTTATATAGTTTACAATGTAATTACAAAGTACTTTTAAACATGTGACTTTCAAAAGACCACAGACTGTATTTACAGAACATATATTAAGGATTACTTACTAATATGGTTCTCCATTTTTCAAAAAAGTGTCTTGTTCCTTTGGGCTTGCACTTGCTTTTAACTCCTTCACTATGACTCTTGCTACACTAGTGCCTGTGTAAATTTCTCCGAGGAGGACCTAAAACCAAAGAACAGTTTTTCATTTCACTTCCAACAAAATGGTAGAAAAGCGTGTCTCATTTATTAGAAAATGGAATACAGGAAAACAAATACAGCAACAAGTAGACGGCCTTCTATTATTTTAAATACTACTTCACAAAAAGCTTGGAAAAGTAAAATACAACCTTCAGTTTTAAGCCATTCATTAGATATTTACAATATTCATAAATTTATGTGTATCTCTTTTTTATTTACTTAAAAATGTATTATATACTTTCATGGAAATTTCCAATGGTATTACAGAATAGTAATCTATAAGTTCAAACATAACTTAAGTATTTCTCAAAAACACTTCAAATGAGTGTTTTTATTTTGTCTCCTTCACATAGAGAAAGTAAACTGACAAAGAGCCAATGTATAAACAAATTATCACTGCATTATAATGCTAAAAATCCACGGCATTCCAACTATTCCAGGCCCTTATCTTGTACCAAATCCTTAATCAAAACTCAGCGGGGGCGGGGAAATACAGCACTGAAATTAGTAGAAAACAAAATGAGAATGAAAATAAGAACAAGCTACATATGAAATATTAAATGTAATATAGGACAATGCTAAGGCATTCCAATATATAATACTATCTAATAAAAGAGCAATATGCAAATTAACCACTATCCAGCTACACCCACAGGCCATATCCACCAGCCAATCAGGAGTGTGCAAATTAATCCAACTAAGATGGCTGCGGCTTGGGTTTCCTGGGGAAATAGAGGAAGCCAAGCTTTCCGCACTCCCTGGCTGGCCCAGGCCTCCATTCAAGGCTACAAAGTTTCAATTATAGAAAATAAATAAATCCCAACAAAAATGGCTGCACTACAGAGCAAGCAGGAGGCTTGGCTCCACTCAAGGCTACAAAGTTACAATTATAGGAGAATCCAAGATGGCTGCACAGGTAAACACCTAGCCGCAGCCGCATATAACAATTTCAATAAAATACAACTAAAATATAAAATGGACATTACCCAGAACTACAGGAAAGTCGATTGACTGGAAATTCTACAGTGAGAAGCAAGGAGAAAACCAGAAGGAAGCGCGGAGGAGCAGTAAAAACCTAAGGTACGGAGACACGCGGCGCCCGAGGAGAGGACAGAGCTGGAGAGGAAGGGCGGGGCGGCCGAGTGCCTGGCTGGTGTTCCCTAGCGGGAAGGAGATAAAAGCTCCGACTGTGCTGGGACCCAGTTCCGACTGCTCTGAACCCCAGTTCTAGGCCAGACCCCGGGGACCCAGGCTCACACAGAAGGAGCTGGGCTGTAAGGCAAACCCCGGGGAGCGGCGAAAGGAGGTCCTAGAGGCGCGCACATTGTGCGCAGAGAAGGGACGGTTGGCTGTGCCACGGGATTGCCCGGGTGGGAAGGAGACAAAAGCTCTGGACTGCTCTGAACGCCACTTCCAATTGAACTGAACCCCAGTTCCAGGCTCATTGGGGGAGAGCCTAGACTGTTTGGTAGCAGGCGAAAATCAAGGGCACCTTTCTCTCAGAGGTGCTTGCAGCGAGTACTGAAGGACCCTGAGACCCAGGAGCCACATAGGGCGGGGCTGACGGAAGCCAAGGCTGTAGGCTCCATCCTGAAACCCCACCCCATCAGGAAAGCTGCGAAAATGCCCAGACATCAAAATAGATCACAAAGGAAAGAAATGGAGGACAAAAAGCGACTGGATATTGAGTTCAAATCTTATAAGGTTTTTCAAGAATTTCCTAGAAAAGGTCGATAAGACCTATGAGGATATGAAAAGGGATCAACTAGAATTAATAAGGAATCAACAAGAAATGATAAGGGATCAATAAGAAATAAAGAATACATTGTGTGAAATAAAGAATATTATACAGAGTCCTAAAAACAGAATGGAAAATCGCAAGAATCAAGTCAAAGATTTGGAACATAAAGAGCCAGAAGACACTCCTCCACAGAAGCAAGAAGGCAAGAGAATCCAGAAAATTGAAGATAATGTAAGAAACCTCTGGGACAACTTCAAGCGAACCAATATCAGAATTATGGGAGTCTCAGAAGATGAAAGAGAGGAAGATATCAAAAACATACTGAAAGAAATAGTGACAGAAAACTTCCCCCACCTGGGGAAAGAATTAGACTCACAAGTCCAGGAAGCGCACAGAACTCCAAACAAAAGGAATCCAAAGAGGACCACACCAAGACAAATCATAATTAAAATTCCAAGAGCAAAAGACAAAGAGAGAATATTAAAAGAAGCAAGAGCAAAGAAGGGAGTTACCTATAAAGGAGCACCTATACGATTGTCAGCTGATTTCTCAACAGAAACCATGCAGGCCAGACGGGAATGGCAAGAAATATTCAAGGTGATGAATAGTAAGAACCTGAGACAAAGATAATCTACCCAGCAAAGCTATCACTCAGAATCAAAGGTCAGATAAAGAGCTTCACTAAAAAAAAAAAAAGCTAAAGGAGTTCATCACCACCAAACCAGAATTATATGAACTGCTGAAGGGGGTTCTTTGGGGAGAGAAAGTAAATAAAGATAAAAAATTATGAACAACAAATACGTAACTATCAACAAGTGAATCTAAAAACCAAGGAAATTTAAAAAAAAATCTGATGAACAATATTAACTGTTGATTATAATAGAATCAGAGGTATGGAAGGGGAGTGAACTGACGATTCTTGGGGAAAAGGGGATAGGGGGATGTGGGAAGAGACTGAACATAAACTGTGAACCTATGGATGAGGACAATGGGGGATGGGGAGGGGGTGGAGGGTGGGGTGGGAACCTAGCGGAGGGGGGAATAAATGAGGAACCTTTGTAATAATATGAACAATAAAGACTGATTTAAAAAAATAAATAAATAAAATATTAATCCTTAAAAAAAAATAAATAAAAATAAATAAAAAATTTTTTAAATGTTACAATTATAGAAGATAAATAAATCCCAGATACCAGGGCCTCTGCTTGGGTCGCCAGGGGGCGTAGCTGGCCTACAAACCACCACAGGCCCCTCACTCAAGCCACCCCATGTCCCAAGGGAACCCCGACCCTGATCCGGGACACCCCTCAGGGCAAACCAACTGGCCCCTACCCGTGCACCAATCCTCTATCCCATCTAATAAGTAATATGCAAATTGACCATCACTCCAACACACAAGATGGCTGCCCCCATGTGGTTAAAGATGGCCACCACAAGATGGCCAGCAGGGGAGGGCAGTTAGGGGTGACCAGACCAGCATAGGAGGAAAGTTGGGGGCGACTGGGCCTGCAGGGAAGGGCAGTTGGGAAGGACCCAGGCCTGCAGGGGAGAGCAGTTGGGGGGGAACAGGCCTACAGAGGAGGGCAGTTAGGGGTGACCAGGCCTGCAGAGGATGGCAGTTAGGAGCAAACAGGCTGGCAGGGGAGTGGTTAGGGGTGATAAGGCTGGCAGGCAGAAGCGGTTAGGGGCAATCAGGAAAACAGGCAGGCAAGCAGTTGGGAACCAGCAGTCCTGGATTGTGAGAGGGATGTCCGACTGTCCGTTTAGGCCTGATCCACAGAGGATCGGGCCTAAACAAACAGTTGGATATCCCTCGAGGGGGTCCCAGATTGGAGAGGGTGCAAGTTGGGCTGAGGGACACCCCCTAACACCTGCACAAATTTTGTGCACCGGACCTCTAGTATCCTATATAATAAAAGCCCAGCGACTGAACGGGGAACAACCAGAACCAGTTGACTAGTCGCTATAATGTGCACGACCACCAAGGGGCAGCCGCTCAATGCAGGAGCTTCCCACTGGTGGTCAGTGGGTTGCCACAGTGGGAGTGCTGATAGGCTGACAGAGATGAGCTGCTGCTCCTGCTGTGACTCCCCGGGCCAACTGGCAGGAACCCGGGCTGCGATCATTGCCCCAGGCTCCTCCTCCTCACATCCTGCTGCCTCCTCCAAATGCCCGCAGGCTGTGCAATGCCGCCACTAGGCTTGCAAAGCTGACCCTGGAGGCTGGGAGGCGGGTTAGTGGCTGCCGTGGGACTGAGGCCTACTCTGCTGCCTCTCAGTGCTATTGTCCCTGGGCCCAGCCCCGACAGGGACCCCTGGAGAGGGGAGTGCTCCAGCTCCAGGGAAGATGCTGGACCAGGGAGCAGCCACTCAGAGGGAGGGTCTATAACCGTTCAGCTGACCAGGATGAGTGATCTCCCACAGTGGGCTGGTCCCCGCAGGCCATGCCCCCCATCAGAGCAAGAATCCCATGCACCATGCCTCTAGTCTAAAATAAAAATGATGAAGTAAAAATTTTTATTTAATTCAAGAATGATCAAAACTAAAGGCTGTCTTTTAGAAGTTATTTTATCTTTTTATAAAATAGCTTCATTTTAATGCCCTGGAAAGAGAGAGCACATACTAAAACAGAATTTAATGTCTTTATTAGGAATATAAGGGCAGAAATATAAACAGAACAAGAAATTCTGATAATTAACAAAGTTACTTTATTTTTGTTTCAAAGAGCCAAGTTGTGCCAATAAGACTAATATAACGATAAGATATCAATTTCAAAAAGAATAACAGTATGCTATTGCAATAACCTGGCTTGCTGTTTCTCTCCCGCTCCCACTGCTAACCATTCTTAATGTTCAATAGATGCAAGGACAAGTTCTTCAAAACCACAACCTCTCAGTTCTGTGACCTCACTTCCAATAATCATTTTCCTATGATCCCATCTCAGCAAAGAATCCCATGAGTCTATACCTAGCTAATTAATAAATATAGTATGTCCTACACCTTGAATTTTAACTTCTTCTCTGCCAGTCCTTTGATTTCCAGTTCACTGACTTCAACAGTCTAATCCAACTGGTGTACAACTTTTCCTCTGAGTCCAGCAATGACACCACTTGTCTACCATCTTGGCTGGTTCCAAAAGTCTCCTACTCCATTTCTCTGCTTGCTTTTAGAGTCAATCTCCTCTACAGACTTGTCTAAAAACTGTCTCCACTTTCTCCCTTGAACTTCCTCAGGAGTGCAGACGGCAACCAATCAATGATTCTCTCTCATTATTGAAGTTTCTATCTCTCTTTCCCTCTCTTTTCCTCTCTGAAATCAATAAAAATATATTTAAAAAAATAAATAAAGGACTTTTTGGAAAAATGTACCACACAGGAATTCTGAAGCTCACATTCCCATGCAGTTTCACCGGGTAATGGGAAACTCAATCAGGACTGAAAGGCTGGAGAGAATGTGGAATGTCGTGCAATACGATTCTTAATTAGCCTTAAATTCTAAAGAGTATAAGTAGGAGGAAAAAAATAGAAGTGAACCACACTTTACCTTTCCAAACCAGCCATTTCCAATTTCCTGTATATAGTTTAGACTGTGGCGGGCAACTTGAGACTTCAAACCTTCTGTAGGAAAAAGTAAAGAACATTAAAAACTAAAAATAGGGCCCTAACCAATTTGGCTCAGTGGACAGAGAGTTGGCCTGAGGACTGAAAGGTCCCGGGTTCAATTGCAGTCAAGTGAAAGGTCTCGGGTTCGACTGAAAAGTCCCAGGTTCGACTGAAAGGTCCCAGGTTCGACTGAAAGGTCCCAGGTTCGATTCTAGTCAAGGGCATGTATTTTGGTTGCAGACACATCCCTAGTAAAAGGTGTGCAGGAAGCAGCTGATCAATGTTTCTCTCTCATCAATGTTTCTAACTCCCTATCCCTCTCCTTTCCTCTCTGTAAAAAAATCAATGAAATATATATTTTTTTAAAAACTAAAAATAGGTATTTAAATGAAATAAATTAAATATTAAATATACAGTCTATAGCTTAGCTGGTATAGTTCAGTGGTTGAGCGTCAACCCATGAACCAAGAGGTTAGTGGTTCAATTCCCAGTCAAGGGCACATGACTGGGTTGCAAGGTTGATCCCCAGTGGGGGCCATGCAGGAGGCAGCTGATCAGTAATTCTCTCTCATCATTGACATTTCTATCTGTCTCTCCCTTCCCTTCCTCTCTCTCTAATATCAATAAAAACATATTTTAAAAATACAACCTATAAAGTTCAAACACCAACATAAATTCAATGCTTGTGCTAAAGAGAGAAATAGATATGTAAAACATCTCTTTCAAACTAACAATGCCAAAACATTTTAAAACTGGCAACATTTGTAATTGAGTATCCCCCCTGACTCTTCAATACCTTGTACTGTTTTTATCTGACCCAGCTACACTACTGTCACCTCCAGTCACCGTCCCACTGGCCATTAGTCAGTCCCGTTTCACGGAGCAGCAGGGAACCCCAGGGACTGTCCCTCCCTATCTTAGGGTGCAAAATCCATCTGATTACCAAATCCAAATACACCCCTCCTCCCAAACACAGGGCACCCCGAAGACACAGAGTCCATTCAGCACAAGCAGGCAGAGAGCTAGGAGAGAAGCGTGCCTACTGAAAAGGAGGCAAGAGCCCTGGATCAGTGGATAGAACCCCGGCCCTCGGACTAACGGGTCCTAGGCTCGGTTCTGGTCAAGGACACTTATCTCGCTTGCAGGCTTGATCTGTGTGCGGGAGGCAAACAATGGATGTGTCTCTCTCCCATCAATCTCCCTCCCTCCCCCTCTCTCTCTCTCTCTCTCTCTCTCTCTCTCTCTCTCTCTGTCTCTCCCCCTCTCTTCTACTCTCAAAAGCCAATGGGAAAACATCCTATGATGTTTAACAAAAAAAAAAGGGGGGGAGAAAGAGCAAAGCAGAGGCTCTGTACCAGAGTTCCATTCTAATGAAGTGAGGAGGCCAGTTTATTCTTAAAAAGCAGACCCAGGGTCCAAAGGAAAAGACTCAGCTATTAGGGGAATGCAATGGGCTTGACCATTCGGCCTCAGCAGGGAGCAGAAGGAAGAGAAATAAGCCCGCAAAGGAGACAGTCGGTACAATTATTTTACGATTCCCAGCAAGGTTCCCAGTCTCACCTCTTAGAAATAACTCAGGGAAGCATGAAGGTCTTACCTCCAGAAGACTGGAACTGAGATGGAGCTGGTAGTGAAACATTTGGTACTGAAAGTGTGAACACTTCTGCTGGGGACTGAACAGAGGGAGTATCTTCTGCTGGTGGTGTGAAATCTATCTCGTCATCAAAATTATCTTCAAATTCCTAATATAAAAGAAGAGCATTGTTATAGTGAATATAGGTCAATTTGAGAGCAAAACCTTAAAACCACTGGCTAACATTTAAGATATGAACATTTATTCACTCATTTGGAACATGTGGCCAACCCCCCCCCAACCCCCCAATTCACAGTTATTTCTTTCTTTTTTTTTAAAAAAAAAATATATATATATTTTATTGATTTTGTACAGAGAGGAAGGGAGAGAGATAGAGAGTTAGAAACATCGATGAGAGAGCATCATCGATCAGCTGCCTCTTGCACACCCCCTACTGGGAATGTGCCCGCAACCAAGGTACATGCCCTGGACCAGAATCAAACCCGGGACCTTTCAGTCCCCAAGCCGACGCTCTATCCATTGAGCCAAACCGGTCTCGGCCCAATTCACAGTTATTTCAAGTAAAAAGCATATGTAATTGTGTTCTCCAACTCCAAATAGCAGAATCAATAGAACATGAATTATATATATAATGTAACTCTTTAGACTGATAGCTTGAAGTTAAATGTAAAATCCTATATAATAAAAGGCTAATATGCAAATTGACTGAACAGCAGAATGACTGGTCACTATGACGTGCAATGACCACCAGAAGGCAGATGCTCAACACAGGAGCTGTCTCCTAGTGGTCAGTGCATTCCCAGGGGGAGCACCACTCAGTCAGAAGCTGGGCTCACGGCTAGTGAGCACAGCAGTGGATGTGGGAGCCTCTCCTGCCTTCGTTGCAGTGCTAAGGATGTCTGACTGCCAGCTTAGGCCCACTCCCAGTGGACAGTGGGCCTAAGCCGTCAGTCAGACATCCCTCAAGGGGTCCCAGACTGCAAGAGGGTGCAGGCCAGGCTGAAGGACCTAACCGAGAGCACAAATTTCATGCACTGGGCCTCTAGTTTTCTATAATGACCATGGAACTTAAAATGGAAATACTCTTCTAAGTCCAAAATTTTACTTCTGCCGAGACCGGTTTGGCTCAGTGGATAGAGCGTCGGCTTGGGGACTGAAGGGTCCCGGGTTCGATTCCGGTCAAGGGCATGTACCTTGGTTGCGGGCACATCCCCAGTAGGGGGTGTGCAAGAGGCAGCTGATTGATGACTCTCTCTCATCAATGTTTCTAACCTTCTATCTCTCTCCCTTCCTCTCTGTACAAAATCAATAAAATATATATTTTTTTAAAAATTTTACTTCTAAGTTATTATAGTCTAAGCTACTCTTTTTTCTTATTATTCACTTTCACAGATCTCTTTGCATATTGAATCTAAACAATTTATTTTAAAATTGTACATGCACTTCTGGTTACAATGTAATTTCAATAAAACAAGGAAGTTAAAAGACTCAAAAAAGGTATTTTTAGGCAAGTCCTATTTATCTGGAAAGCGCAGAATAAAAAATTGAGGTAGAAAATAATCTGAGATCTGAACACCAAGATTACAGTATAAAGCGGTAGCACACTGCTTTAGCTGACATTCTAAGAACATCTGGTTTTCTAGAGATAGCAACTTGGAAACCGAGGCTGCCCCAGCTGAACTGCAGAAACCTTTGACTCTGTTTAGCAGAAAGCTATCTTACATGTTCCCATCAGCCAGCTGGGTCTGCCTCGGTGTCCACGTTAACACAGATACAGCTGATTATCAATGTCATTCGTTCCCTCAGGCAATGAAAGAGCATTACACCACCAGGACTAACAGTGCTTTCCACTCCTCACAGAACAACCTTCTTTTCATTTTCTACCACCTCCCACGGCCCTCCATATAAGGAAGAAAAAGCTGAAAGGAAAAGCTGAAAGCTGAAAGGGCAGCTCTCTCTGATGTAGCATTTATGTTCTCAGGTGAGGGGGCACTCCTCCACATATGTCATCTATGTTGTCAGATCATTAGGGCATCACCGCTAATGGGAAGCGGGAAGCAGGGTAAGTGAGGTGCAGCTTCAAACAGAGGAGCTGTGTCAACTTTCCTTCCAGACATTCCTAAAGGTTCTCCCATAGAAAGTAACTTTATCCATCGCTTCCACCTTAGAAATAATGCTACTGAAGACTCTGCCACAGCATGGTACGCCATTAGGCAGCAGAGGATTCTAAGGTTCAGAAAGGATGGCCAGCTGACGTGGCTCAGAGGCTGAGCGTCAACCTAACAACGAAGAGATCATGGTTCCATTCCAGGTCAGGGTACATGCCCGGGTTGTGGGCCGATCCCCAGTAGAGGGCATGAAGAGGCAGCCAATCAATGATGTTTCTCTCTCTCTCTCTCTCTCTCTCTCTCTCTCTCGCTCTCGCTCTCGCTCTCGCTCTCTCGTTCATGTTTCTATCTCTCCTTCTCCCTTCCCCTCTCTCCAAAAATCAATAGAAACATTCTACTCATCTGCGGTTACACGAGCCAGTATTTACAATCGGCAGTATTTACAGTTACTGTGTGGAATGAGGTTATCGATATGCCCTCTTTTTTTCTCCCCACTTAGGCAGTTGTAGGGTTCAAGGTAAACTGAAAGATGTTCTCTTCATACGCAAGACACACTAGGGGATCCCTTGGCCTCAACAATCACAGACTCACCAGCACAGAAAAGTTGGGGGGGAAAATCAAAACCAGCCTGTTCTTCCTTGTAGGCCTTATAGCAAGTGAATACAATCATCACACTTTATTCCTCCCTTTCAAAACCTAAAATTGTCAATAATGCTCTAAGGCAGGGCGAGCAAACTACAGCTAACAAGCCAAATCCAAACTACCCATTTTTATGAAGTTTTATTGGTACACAGCCACAACCACCTGTTTCTGTGCTGTCTATGTAGCACTTCGCTGGCAGAGCTGACAGGTGATGGTGGTCTATGGAATTTACTGTTTACAACGGCCCTGTTTGTTTACTGTGGGTTCTTACAGAAGAGCCTGCCCATCCCTGCTCCCAGGGAGTGTGACACTTAGCCATTCTATTGATAAATGTATCAGAGGAGGATTCGGAATGCTCCCACCAGCTGTGCTCACCTTAAAGTCAATTTCTGGGTCTTTACAGCAGGATACGCAATTTGCAATTAGCACGATTAATATAATGAAACTGCACACAGATAGGATCACAAAGGATGAGGAAACTTCGGCAGCAGGTGACTCCACTGGAAAGAGAAGTAAGTAATATTAACATCGTGGACATTCCAAAATCAACTTTAATAAACAAATCAATATATTTCCCACCAAATATAAATGGGCTAAGGATTAATAAAATGCTTAAGTGTTCAAGATAAAGATGATAACCAATCCAAGATAAGCAGCTAGGGTTTTGCCCTAACCAGTTTGGCTCAGTGGATAGAGCGCCGGCCTGTGGACTGAAGGGTCCCAGGTTTGATTCCGGTCAAGGGCATGTGCCTTGGTTGCGGGCACATCCCCAGTAGGGGTTGTGCAGGAAGCAGCTGATCGATGTTTCTCTCTCAACAATGTTTCTAATTCCTCTCTATAAAAAAAAAAAATCAATACACTATATTAAAGAACAGAAAGCCGGGTTCTAAAAAATCTTGTGAAATAATCTTAGATTTGCAGAAAAGTTCCAGAGACAATCCAGAGGCCCCACTCCGCTCCCCCAGCTTCCACTCACATTAACATCCTATGTCTCCACGGGACACGCATCAAAGCTAAGGCAGTAACACTGGTACAACACTAGTAACCGAACTTCAGGCTTTATTTGGATTTTACCAGTTTTCCCATTAATATCCTCTTACTTTTCCGGAGTCAATCCAGGTTACCAACACTGCATTTAGTCCTCATGCCCCCTTCGTCTTCTCCAGCCCTGATGCTGCTCAGTCTGTGTGTTTCATAACTTTGACACTTTGGGAGAGTACTGGTCAGTGACTGTGTAGCATGTCCCCCAATGTGGTTGCCTCATGACTGGACTGAGGTTACAGATCTGCCAGAAGAATCTAGACTGGCACCGGGTGAACGGCCCTTCACATCACATCAGAGCAAGGGCACAAGATGTTGGCACCACGTGTTCCTGGGCATGTGGGCTTGACCACCTGACCCAGGTGCTTTCTGCCGGGTTTCACCCCTGGGAAGTTACCCACCCCTTCCTCCTTTACTACTCGATTCCTTAATAGGAGGCCCGAAACCAGGCGCACCTCACAGGGGGCGAGCTGTACTCCCGGAGGGAGGAACGTCACAGAATCGTGGACATACGTTACAGCTTCCACGGTAATTAGAATTTGGGGGAGACACCTTGAGGTTAGGCAAATATCCTGTGTCTCCTTAAAGTTCTGCACACTATTCTTCTCATCGTCATTGCGCCTTGCCTGCAGCCATTAATACCATGACGTTCTAATGATGATTTTCTATTTCCCTCGCTCCTTCTACACTTATTGTTTGTTATTCTTCCTATCCCCTCCCCACTTCTACAGTATGACCTCACAGTTATTTCTTTTAGATGCTGGGTTATAATCCAGGATTATCATTATTTTGTTGCTCAGGTTTATCATTATCATTATTTTATCATTATTTTGTTGCCCCCGCTGTTTCCCGCATCTCCTTCACAGGCTGGCAGTACAGGGAGCTCCGGCTCCTCTTGTATCTTATCCACCCCACTTTATTTATTTTTTTTATACTTTACTGATTTTTCACAGAGAGGAAGGGAGAGAGAAAGGATTTAGAAAGATCGATGAGAGAGAATCATCGATTAGCTGCCTCCTGCACACCCCCTACCAGGGATGTGCCTGCAACCAAGGTACATGCCCTTGACCGGAATCGAACCTGGGACTCTTGAGTCCGCAGGCTGACGCTCTATCCACTGAGCCAAACCGGTTAGGGCCCACCCCCACTTTAGAAGCAGCCACTTCTCCAAGGAGCCTGGTCCTCACCAGGAGCCTGTCCACTGAGCAGAGCTGCCCGTGGCCTTTCCACAAGGCACTGGTAGGGGCAGGGGCAGACAGAGTGGTTTTTACATCTTAAATGTTTTCAAAATAAAACAAAATGAGGTGCAACAGACACTGCACGGGGGCCATAAGGCTTACATATTGGACTACTGACCCTTTATGGAAACTGTGCAAGCCCCGTCTAGAGCATAAAGATCTTTACGTCTCACTTGCAACAAAAAGTTATTGGAGCCGAAACCGGTTTGTCTCAGTGGATAGAGTGTGTCAGCCTGTGGACTGAAAGGTCCCGGGTTCTATTCTGGTCAAGGTCATGTACCTTGGTTGCGGGCACATCCCCAGGAGGGGGTGTGCAAGAGGCAGCTGATCGATGATTCTCTCTCATCGATGTTTCTAACTTTCTACCCCTCTTTCTTCCTCTCTGTAAAAAATCAATAAAAACATATATTTAAAAAAAAAAAGTTATTTGAAAACATCTCATCCAATGGGCTATTTCTTTAGTAGAGCAAACTGCTGCCTCACCTGCCAGTGTTTTACTAAGAAATAAACATTTCCCCCAGTTTTACTGAGCTTATAACTGACATATCACATGATATCAGTTGAAGGCGTACGATGTGATTTGATATACCTATATATTGCAAAATGATTACCACAATAAGATCAGAAATGTTTTTCCTTAATATCCTCATCCGCAATTCATTATGTGTTCAAACACACCGAGGGGAAGGCGTGGAGACAAGCCATGGACGGTGCCACGGCTTTTCTGCAGAAACGCTAACACCTGAAGGAAGGAAAACGAATCCCAGCGCCTGCGTGAGCGAGACACATTCCCGAGCAGGAACTTCGGTGGAGGGAGGTCTGCAGCCAGCTGCAAACAGCACCAAGTTTCTTCTCAGCACAAAGGTCTGTTGTGAAAGCAACCCCGAAACCACGCTGTTACAGTGGGGCTCCCTCTGCGCTTACAGCTAACAGAGTAAACGGATGTTCTAAACCAACATCATCTAAAACAGGAAAACCTGTGCATTCATCGAACCCCCAGTGCTGGCTTGCTGACTTTCAAAAGCCAACCTGGAGGAAGTCACCCTCCAGAGAGAGAGAGAATTCCTCAACTACAGACGCTGCACAATCCTCAGCTAAGGGAGGCGCGGGAGCAGCTTTCTAATGAAGACGGCCCACGAAGGTCCTTCCTGCTCCGCCTCCAGCTACCTGTGCTCCTCCAGCCCGGCCTGCGTGTCCCACTGGCACTCACTCTTAGAACCCTCTTCCTCCCCGGCTCATACAGTAAAAGCAAATGTGACTCCTGAGGCTCCTTTCAGCAAGGCACTTCCACAGATTCTGTGTTTTATTTTAAAATGCACTTTGTCCGCTTCATTTTAACATTCTGTTTTCAGGTGTATCTTATACTCGAAAAGTTGGTTTTCACTGGCAGAGATTCCTCTTTCTTAAAGGCACAGAAGTAAGGGTGTGCCGTAATCAATTGTATCTGCGGTACAGACCGCATACAGCATGGTTTCACTGGATCGTTACCGCACGCTGAGGGTGTTCATCCAGCTCCGTCCCCATGAGTGTCACACTGACAGGCCCACGGACACAGTGGGCATGTGGCACTGAGTACAAACCCATGCTCCCCAGGACCCCACAGGGTCTGCCTCGTCGAGGTAACTTTTTTTTTTTTATAATATATTTTTATTGATTTTTCACAGAGAGGAAGGGAGAGAGAGAGCGAGCTAGAAATGTCGATGAGAGAGAGACACCGACCAGCTGCCTCTTGCACCCCCCTACCGGGAATGTGTCCGCAACCAATGTACATGCCCCTGACCAGAATCGAACGTGGGACCTTTCAGGCCGCAGACCGACGCTCTACCACAAAGCCAAACCGGTTTCGGCTCGCCAAGGTAACTTTTAACACAAACAGCCTAACCTAAGTGCTTTGAACGGAGTCCATCGCCGTTAATTAAGACAGTACACGCTTCTGGGGCTCCCCTCCAAGCTCCACGTAACAGCTATTAAATCATTCTTTCCTCTCTTTTCAGCCTATTTTTTCTCAGCACACACTGTCCATTTGTTGAGAAGTGTGATCAGAACCGCCTGAAGGCGCTCCATTATCTGATCCAAAACCGTCTTAGGAGTCGGTCTAGGAGTCGGTCTAGAAGTCGGGAGGTGGGCCTGAGAAGTCGTCCGCGTTTAGCCAGCAGTGGTGAGTCTGCGCCCCTGCGCTTGCTCGCTCTCTCCGCCTACAGGCTCATCTGGCGAGGACCCCGGGCCTCTGTTCCCCGCACTCCGATCTCCTCTGTGTGTCTACCAGTCCCACCGAGAGGACTCTACAAACTGCTGCCTGAAAAGGAACCTTCTAGTAGCCTCAAGTAGAAGTTTTTACAGTTTCAACACTTTTAAAACTCTTTCATTTACTGTGCTTTTCTCCTGGTTAGTCCAAAGCACTGGGCTTTTAAAAAACTCCATGTACCAGTTAGAGAAACACTCCGCACACGAAGAACGAGGGCCCACCCGGCACCGGCTGGCAGGTGAGCGGGCCGCTCCGCCTCAGAGGAAGGGAACTGCAGCCGGAGCCCCGCCCCTGCGGTCACAGCGCCCGACGCAGCGGGAGGTTCCTCATTACAACTGTTAGGAAGCCATGAAGCAAGACGGTTCCCTTCAACATTCTCGGCCACGCCACTCAGAACGCATCAGTCAAACCCACCGTCGAGTAAAGAAAAACATCAGTAACAGCAGGAGTGTCTCCGGACACAGAGGCAGCTGTGCCCACTGCAAACTGGAAATGAGGTAACAGAGGTCTGGGTGCTTAGCATCTTCCCTCAGACACCCATCACAACAGCCCAGCATCTCTAAAGCACATTCTGTGAGCGATATTGCTCAGTTCAAACCATTTTAATAGTTATATAAGCAGAAAAGTTGAGAAACTCTAAGAGGTAGGTACCCATTATCTGTTTTATAGACAGGTAATTAGGAGCGTGCAATTTCTCAGTAATGACTCAGAGTACGTCAGGAGTACCACCTGATTATTAATTCAGCCGTGATAAATGCCTGCCTAGAGCTTCCATCGGAGTTTGAACTTATATGTAATTAACTAAAGAGTTACCTGTGAAACTATTTTGAGAATAAAAAATGTAAACATCCACAGATAAAAAGAAATGGTAATCAGTGCTCGATCCATTAGCGATTGCAAAACACTGATACTAACTTTGTCATTCCTTCTTCAGTTACAAGCGGGTACACTTTTGTAAAGAGAATTTCCTCATATT